AACCGAGTCTTTCCACCACCAGAAACTGATGGAATGACTGGCCTCCTAGACGCCTCCGCACCTGAAATAAACGTGCCCGCCCATCTTTTTCCTACCTGGCTACTTTGGTAACTTTCCTTGATGCAATTCCCTCCCTTTCTGCTCCTCTCCAGGGTTTCATTTTCCCACATGAAGTCATTTGTCTCCTCTTTCCCGCTCTCTGGTTCCTTGTCTCTTGAGATGCCAGGGCCTTGTGCAGCCTCTCTTATTGCTGAAATGGATTTGTGATCAGTGATTAAGACACACATTCTCTACCTGATCTCTCGGTTCTCTCCTTCTCTCCATGCTAATTACTGTAAAGTCATAGAACGTTAGTAGGTCTGTGGACGAAAGGGGCCACATGCTGACCTGACAGGCTCAGGGGAAGCCTGCGTGGCAATCTTGCAAACTCAGAGACCTAAGTCACCACAAAGGATGGTCTGAAATTAAACTTTAACTAAATGCAGTTATGGTGGGTAGTTACAGCCTTAGGCCGGTATCTTCACTGACAAGGTTACCCTTTACCTTCACTGTGCCAGTCTTCAGTCTTTTTGCATCGATGATAACACACCCTTGAAATGTCTGAGTAACTTGTAACTTCTCTTTTTCTGGATCCCTTGGGGCACAACCTAAGGTGCTTGGGTGCCAGGACAGACAACACAAATTATCATGTTATGCCGAAACCGGTTTGGCTCAGTGGATAGAGCGTCGGTCTGCGGACTGAAGGGTCCCGGGTTCGATTCCGGTCAGGGGCATGTACGTTGGTTGCGGGCACATCCCCAGTAGGGGGTGTGCAGGAGGCAGCTGGTCGATGTTTCTCTCTCATCGACGTTTCTAGCTCTCTATCTCTCTCCCTTCCTCTCTGTAAAGAAATCAATAAAATATATTTAAAAAAACAAAAACAAAAAAACAAATTATCATTTTAATGGTTCCTGCACCCACCTAAGTATGGGTCTATCATTTTACTTTTTATCCAATTCCAGTGGTTCCCCTCTTCCTTGCCTCCCCGCTCCCCCCCCCCTGGCTTTTCTTTCTCCCACCTCTCTAGTCTATACCAATGGATTTCAAGAAACCCATCTACATCCCTTCCTTTGAGGCACTGTACAAATACAGGTGTAACCCACCATTCCCTGGAGCATTATCTCAGTTGGTTGAGGTTTTATTTCCTGTCGATTGTCAACAGGTTGGCTCAAGTAAACTCACAAAAATTCTTTACAGGTTTGAATGTTTTAATGTTAACAGGTCTCAGTCAAGGATGGGGTGGGACCAAAAGATGTCTTTTTGTAAAAAGTTTACAAGCTGAGCGCTCAGTTCCTATAGGGAGTGTGCTTCACCCACTGTTGAACCCAATCATTGACGTCTGGATTCTAGGCATCCCATGGAAATCAGCTTTCCTGCGTCCTCGGGCCATATTACAGCTAAAACTATGGGACGCTGCTAAGTAACGTGCCTATCGCTGGAGCGGGGCGGTCTCCAAGGGAGCTGGTTCGCCCACACTCCTCCTTTCTCCACCTTCAGCATTAGCGCCATCACTATTTTTCATCTTTATCGTACGCTTCCAGAGAGGCACTCAATAACGTACCCATTGTTTAAGCAATCCGAAATCCTCTTCAGTGAGCAATCGTAGTTAGCAGTAATAAAACACTAATTTGTCTACCAAGTGACATATTTATAGGAGCTATTTACTTGGCCATATTTTTATTATTTCTACTCATTTGCTAAGTACTTTCCAATACATATTTATGAAGCCCATGCCTTTCCTCAAACAGTAGTGAGATAATAAATCATATTATTTCTTTTATTAGCAGCAGCATGGCTTTTATAAGTCCCAGTGCCCTAATTTTTGTTTGATCTGGCAAGAACCGGAAGAATTCATGGTGACTACACACCTACTATGTGCCTGTGAAAGGCTCTTCACATCGATTATCTGTTTAATTTGCCTGAGATATAGATTTTACCACTTAGACAGAGATCACCTTGTTTAAGTAACTCAGCCATAAAGGGCCCAGCAGGGTTTTGAACCTAGATCTTGATTCCAAAAGCCTAAATATAATAATGTCTGTACAATATAAAATATTCCTTTCCGAGAGAGTCTGCATAGGTGTCCCCAGAATGGAACAGTTAGAAATAAGGAGACACAGGATGCTAACCCCAGTTTTTCTTTCTTTCTTTCTTTTTCTTTCTTTCTTTCTTTCTTTCTTTCTTTCTTTCTTTCTTTCTTTCTTTTCTTTCTTTTTTTAATATATTTTATTGATTTTGTACAGAGAAGAAGGGAGAAAGATAGAGAGTTAGAAACATCGATGAGAGAGTCATTGATCAGCTGCCTCTTGCACACCCCCTACTGGGGATATGCCCGCAACCAAGGTACATGCCCTTGACCGGAATCGAACCCGGGACCCTTCAGTCCCCAAGCCGACGCTCTATCCATTGAGCCAAACCGGTCTCGGCAAACCCCAGTTTTTCTATGAGAGGTTACTCTCTGGGGGAAGTTATTCCCTAAGAAATCAGTGGAGGGGCTAGCCGGTTTGGCTCAGTGGATAGAGCATTGGCCTGCGAATCAATTCCTGTCAAGGGCACATACCTTGGTTGCAGACTCCTTCCCGGCCCAGGCCCTGGTTGGGGCTCATGCAGGGGGCAACCAATTGATGTTTCTCTCACACTGATGTTTCTCTCCATCTTTCCCTTTCTCTTCCACTCTTTCAAAAAAAAAAAAAAAAAATCAATGGAAAAATATCCTCAGGTGAGGATTAACAACAACAAAATTCAGAACTGTGTGGATTGGAAATTAAAGACCATGTGGGGACAGGCAGAGTCCTGGCCTAGGAACCAGGAGTCCTGGGTTCCAGCCCTGCTCTACCACTGGGACCGTCCTACTCCTCTTTGGGGCTCAGTTTCCTTCTCTGTTAAGTCACAGGATGGGACAGATGATCTTTACAGGCCTCTCAACACGTTAGTCTAGGGTCCTCAGCCAGGAGCTGAGCACCTGGAAACATGGCAGAGATGGCAACCAGGTTCCACGCTGAATGCCAAGTCCAGCTGACTGGCTGAGATGACATGGAGTGCTCTGTGGAGAAAAACTGCAAAACACTGTGAGCTCTACAAACAAGAATGCTTGATTGGTTGGTGATGTCTGCGTGGGCTCAGGATGCCCACATGGTAAGAGTGGCAGGGATTTGTCATTCCTAGCTTCAAGTACCGTTTCCTACCATGGCTGCAGAACTGCCAACTGCTCACAGGATAAAGATACTGAAAAGCCCTAGCTGATTTGGTTCAGTGGATAGAGCATCAGCCTTCAGACTGAAGGTCCCGGGTTCAATTCTGGTCAAGGGTACATACCCCAGTTGCAGGCTTGATCCCCAGTAGGGGGCGTGCAGGAGGCAGCCAATCAATGCTTCTCTCTCATCATTAATGTTTCTATCTTTCCCTATCTCTTCCCTCTGAAATCAGTAAAAATATATATTCTTTAAAAAGGATACTGAAGATTAACTCTTCCCGTGGTGTTCAGCAGCCGCACCAGGGTTCCCTCAGGCTCACCAACCCTGCCCTCACCCGGGTAGATACCCTCAAGCCAGTGTCCCACGCACTCCCAACGCGCCCTGCTGCGTTTATCATCTCTAAATGTCAGATCATCGGTCTATGATTCTGACACCCCCTTTCCTGCAGCCAAGACACAGCTAATTAATTACACAACAGGCTCTCTGAGAAAGGCAGCCTTCCTTTTAAAAAAAAAAAAAATGTGTTCAGTAAACAACCTGATCATTTCTCGGCTTTGCCTTTTGTTTTCCCATCCCCTGTCCTCCTCTCCTCCCAGCCAGAGTGACAGCTCTCAGCTCTCAGACGGATGGCTACCGTGCTGGGAACAGACAGGGGTGTGTGTGTGTGTGTGTGTGTGTGTGTGTGTGTTGGGGGTGGGGGGTGGAATTCAAATGCTAGGGCACTACGCCCTGGTACAGCTGGCTGGAAGAGAAGGGTAATTATATTGCAGCTCGGAGCCACCGGCAATGAATTTCTGCATGAAGACTAGATTTGCCATGTATTATTTATGCCAGCATCAATTTTCCCAGCTGGCTCTATTTACTGAGCAAATTCTCCTCTGTCTGTTTATGGGCAAGGCCATGCATGGTTCAGCACCTCTGGGTACTCTGGGCTATGGAGGGGCCCCACAGGGCATGGCGCATATTATACAAGCGTCTGGGTTCACCAGGAGCAGGTCACATCCTCCCTTCACTGGATAATAGCGCTGGGACTGCAGCGAGCTCCGTCTCGCCTGGGCCTGGGAATGCCCGCCGGTGTGTGACACCAAATCGGCAAGAGCCAAACCGCCTTTGGGTCCTCACTGGTGTAAACTGGGGCGGGGGACGGCGGGGGGGGGGGGGGGGGAGACGCAACATCCTGGGGGAAAATTAGGTGGTTCTGGGGCTTAGGAAATTTCCTTTTTATATTTTTTAAGAGCAGGCAGGACCTAAATGAAGAAGAGTTTTGCATTTACTTCAACTCAGTAACTCAAAAACAGAGCTAAGGGGAAGAGAGCCTCATTTACAGATGAAAAAAAAACAGAGGCAAAAAAAAAAAAAAAAAAAAACCCAAGAAAAAGAGAAGCAAAGGCAAGTTTCATGGTCCAGGCACTGTATTAGGATGGAGTGCAGGCAGGATGGTGATGCGCGGGAGGTTATCCATCCAGTCACTAGCGTGCCTCTTCAGAGATGCCCAAGCCAGGGTGAATGAACTTGGCTCCAGTAGACACGTGCATGGTAGAAACAAAGGAAGAAAACTTGGCTCCAGCATGGATATCTGGGTCCTCCACTACAGCTTCCTCTCTTGCCAGTAGCTCTAAATGTTTCCACAGAGAGAACAGCTGAAGAATCTGAGATTCCCTTCTGCCCGGCCCGAGAGCGTCTCCCGCATCCCAAGAGCTGGCTGGCGGTGAGCGGCAGGCGGTGAGTCAGGGGCCTTGAGGCCTCTCCCTTCCCAGTCAACAGCAGTCATGCCTGCTCTCCCTGTGACAATGGGCTCTGCTCCAGAGCCCCCCAGGTCCCAATGTCTACCGGCTCCTGGGAACCTGTTGGCTGGAAGAAGACAGGGAAGAAGGGTACATTTTTTAGTTAAGCAACCCAAGTTTTTGGTTGCAGGTTCAGCATCCAAGAATTCCTCTATAAGACATCCATGGGCATAGATACTACCCTCAAGGGCCCAGAGGATTCGTTTTTGTTTTATTGTTTTTTGTGTGTGTGTGTGTGTGTGTTTTTTAATTTTTAAAAAAATATATTTTATTGATTTTTCACAGAGAGGAAGAGAGAGGGATAGAGAGTTAGAAACATCGATGAGAGAGAATCATCGATCAGCTGCCTCTTGCACACCCCCTACTGGGGATGTGCCCACAACCAAGGTACATGCCCTTGACCAGAATCGAACCTGGAACCTTACAGTCCACAGGCTGATGCTCTATCCACAGAGCCAAACCGGTTTTGGCTGTTTTATTGTTATTAGTTTCATTTTTATTTACTGTTATCAGTTTTCTTTTCCCCTGGGACTGACTCACCAGACGGGGAGATTTAGTCAGACACGCTGTGCGCTCACTGCCTGGTGCTCCTGCTCCTTCGCCGACGGCCAGCACAATCCGGGTGCTGGGCACAAAGCTCCAGGAGCGGCCCAAGGCAGGCTTAAGCTTCCCGCTGTCCCGGTCTCGGGTCATGTGGTTGGTCACCTGGGGAGGAAAGAAACAAAGACCTACAGCCGGGACCGGTTTGGCTTAGTGGATAGAGCGTCGGCTTGGGGACTGAAAGGTCCCGGGTTCGATTCCAGTCAAGGGCATGTACCTTGGTTGCGGGCATATCCCCAGTGGGAGGTGTGCAAGAGGCAGCTGATCGATGACTCTCTCTCATCGATGTTTCTAACTCTCTATCTCTCTTCCTTTCTCTCTGTACAAAATCAATAAAATAAAAAAATAAAAATAAAATTAAAAAAAAACAAAAAACAAAGACGTACAGATCCATAATGCTCGAAGAGAGGACACCTGTTCTGACGTCTTCGTTTTACAGATGGGAAGGCTGAGGACTCACAAGGAGACACTCCTTCCCCAGGACTCCATAACTTAGCCACACAGGTCCTGAACCAGACCCCAGGGTCCTGGCTTGTGCACAGCTCTTTCCACTGAACCGCAATGTCTCAAGCTCGACTCCAACCAAGGGGATGGGGCATGCGTCCGGGAACAAGCAGTGCTGCCCGCACTTTCCTGAAGGGAGGCCCACTACCCCCACCCCCAACCCAGCAGACAGGCATCCTGAGACGTCTCCAATCAGCCCTTTGTGTCAGGGCGTGCATCTCTGTATATGGGAGGGGAGGAGTTTTGGAATGAAGGAAGGCCCTGGCCAGCAGCTGGCAGCTGGGGAAGGGAGGCCCCAGCCGGCAACCGGAAAGCCCCCATCGGCCCTGATCGCCTGCCAGACCTGGGGTCCCTATCTGTGCATGAATTTCATGCACCGGGCCTCTAGTATAGTCATAGAGCCTCAAATATTTACCATCTGACCTTTCATAGAAAAGGTTTGCTGGCCCCTGGAACATAGGTATTAAACAAGATAATATGTAACTGCTAAAAATGGCATTCCTGCCCTGCCGGTGGGGCTCAGTGGCTGAGTATAGAACTATGAACCAGGAGGTCAGGGTTCGATTTCCAGTCAGGGCACATGCCCAGAGCACCTTTCTGAGGTGATAGAAATGGATATTCTGTCTCTTGGTTGCAGTCTAGACAGGAAACAAGGCTGTTAGTCAAACTTGAAACAAGAAGGTTACTCTACGTGAATTTACTTAACTTCAAGAAAAAAATAAAAATAAAAACAAGACTACCTCTGATCCCTTAGCTGTTTATCAGTGGATCCCCTCAGGGCCCAGTGTTCTAGATGACCCAGGGAGGTTGGGCTGTGACCTTTTCCTAAAGGGCCATTTTGGGGGTCCAGAAGCTGCCGTATATGGGCAATAAAGAAACTGCCATTTGAGGGAAATAAATTTCTAGCTACAGCTAGAAATCAGGTTCATCTTCCCTCTTGGGGAAGCCCAGGGATCAGATTTAGGACAAGCACGCTGGCCCAGCGCCCTTCCTCACCACCACCGCCACACCAAGGTCCCGGGCCAGGGTCTTCAGCTCCAAGGCCAGCTGCATCATCAAGGCCAAGCCTGGAGGAGAAGCAGAGCGGGAGGGAGAGGGCATGAGGGACTGGGCTGGCCGGAGACTGGACTCCAGAGCTGGGGGACAAGGTCATATCTCTGACCCTGGGCTCTGCCACACACATCACTCACCTTCCCTCTGCTGACCTCCCAGAAGTGGGGAGACGACGGCGGTGACAGAGTCCACAATGACCACCTTCACAGTTCCTGAAGAATCGCTCACCTGGGGGTAAGCAGGTGTCATAACCACTTGGCCTCTAGGGGGCGCCCATTACAACACAAGCTTGATTCTAATATAAACTGGGAAAAGCCCAACCCGTGTGTGGCTCAGTGATGGAGCAACCACCCCATGAATCAGGAGGTCACGGTTGATCCTGTCAGGGCTCATGCAGGTTTGCAGGGAACCAACCCAAATGCCATTCCAAACCCCTCTTGCTTGTTAACAGAACTGCAGATGTGGGGTCGGGTACTGGACACAGATCTGACATCAGGGAAGGTGGGCCCAACCCCTGGTCTAAGACATACGTATAACTGTTTGGGCCAATTAGATTTAAGGTGAAATGGGCAGTCTGCTAGCGGGTTTTGGAGAAAGATTTTCTTCTCTGATAAAATTGGAAGAAGTACAAAAAAAGAGGCATCTGCTTTCACTGCCCTGAATGTGGAGGTGATGCTTAAAAATATGAGGCTTACCCCAGCCAGCGTGGCTCAGTAGTTGAGCGTTGACCTATGAACCAGGAGGTCACGGTTTGATTCCCAGTCAGGGCCCATGCCCAGGGTTTCGGGCATGATCCCCAGTGTGGGGTGTGCAGGAGGCAACCAATCAATGATTCTCATCATTGATATTTTTATATCTCTCTCCCTCTCCCTTCCTCTCTGAAATCAATAAAAAAAAAATGTATTTTTATAAATAAAAATAGGAGGCTTAGATCAATAGCAGCCTCTTTGCAATCGCAGGGGAAAAAGCGCAAGAGACTCACACACACACCAGCCTGAAGCCCTAATAATGTGGCCCTGCCAACCTCCAGACTCCTGTGAGATAATCAAATGTCCTCCAAGTGTAAGTGTCTGTCAGTCACATTCTATTACGTGCAGCTGAAAACCGATCCACCGGGGGAATGCAGAGATGAGCATGGCATGCTCCTTGCACTCAAGGGGCTTACTGTTTAGCGGGGAAGATGAGTGTGTACACAAAGAGGCTCTCAGGAATGAATGAAGCACTTAGAACCCCATCCTGGGAGTGGCAAGCCCAGCTGGAGTCGCCAGATTGCACATCTGCATCCCCAGAGAGTCTGCCGTAGGACACCTGCCCACAAATAGACGGCACCCGGCCAGCTGGGTGCAGCTGGGAGGAGCGGGACCGCGGACCCACCTGCTGGGCCACGGCACCTCGGAGGTCCTGCAGCACATCCAGCATCTGGAAGATGTCAAAGGCACGCACCACCTGGATCCTCTGGAGAGCTCCTGCCTGAAGGGGCGGGAAAGAGAAGGGGGCTCTGGATTAGAGGGGGCAGGGTCTGCCCTAGCCAGTTTGGCTTGGTGGATAGAGCATCGGCCTGTGGACAATCAAGGGCATGCACCTTGGTTGCGGGCACATCCCCAGTGGGAGGAGTGCAGGAGGCAGCTGATCAATGTTTCTAACTCTCTCCCTCTCCCTTCCTCTCTGTAAAAAAATCAATAAAATATATATATTTTTTTTAAAGAGGGAGCAGGGTCCAGTAAGACGAAGGGGGATTTTAAGGCTGAGCAGGAAGGGGCATCTGGATACAAGGACTCGGTACGCTTTGTCTAACGGGCCAGTTCTCACGGTGGTGGCTGCTGAGGTGCTGAGCTGCAAAGCTATATAAGACAGAGCACAGTGGGGAAGAGTGATAGGACTGATGGGTGGTGTCTGCCCTGGGATAGGAACCCTGACGCTGGGTTTAATATATTTTATCGATTTTTTACAGAGAGGAAAGGAAAGAGATAGAGAGCTAGAAATGTTGATGAGAGAGAAACATTGACCAGCTGCCTCCTGCACACTCCCTACTGGAGATTAGCCCGCAACCAATGTACATGCCCTTGACCGGAATCGAACGTGGGACCTTTCAGTCCGCAGGCCGACGCTCGACCACTGAGCCGAACCGGTTTCGGCTGACGCTGGTATTTATCAGCCCTGAATTAAGGTGTGCAAGGAGCTGGGGGGGGATTATGTGTGAAGGGCATTCACGTTGGGATGATGCTATAACACGGAGACGGGAAGGATACAGGAAGTATTCTTAGAACAGCAAGCTTCAAAGCCAGGAGGGCTACTCATCCCAACGGCTAAAATCCTTATAACGTAAGGAGTCCTGGGGTCTCTGTGTCACTGCTTTAAAGGGATCCAGCACTCCTGCCCCTTACCTGCTCCTCCTCATCCGGGGTTCTGGCCTGCAGTAGCTGGAGGATGCGGGAGGCTGTCAGCCCTCCATTGGAATCCACGTACAGGACGTTCTGCTGCAGGCCATGGGCCACATTGGCAGCCACACAAAGACACACCTGAGGAGAGACCGGGCACTGGGTGAACTTGAGCCCTCCAAGACTTGCTCAGGATGGGAGCTTCCCACCGAATCCATTCAGATCCCAGTGTCATGAATGGGTCAAGTTCAAGGCCCAGTCCTCACCACCCATCGTCTCTCTTCCAAGCTCTGAATCACAATCTACTGGCGGAAGCTTCCTGGGGATCCAGGATCATACACACCTCCCTCTCCCAGTCCTCTGGCTCCGGCTGTGTGTGTGTGTGTTACCTGGGTTTTGCCGCTGCCTGGGCCGCCGGAGATTTCAGTCACTTCTCCAGTGTAGAGACCTGCGTCGAGCAGTTTGTCTAGGCTGATGGCAGAAGAGGAAGGAAGAGCGTCAACCCAGGGTACTGGAGTGTAGAGGGAAGTAACAGCCACGAAGAAAAGCAAGGCATTGGTTCTGTCTGGAGATGCTGTCAGTGTCTCTGGCCAGGAGGTTTCTCTAGGAAGAGTTTCCTTCAGGGAAAGGGCGTGGCTAAATGTTCCTCTGTGAGCCCTCCTCATCCTTTCACTCGCAGCTAAAAATCATCTCTCCCGCCAGGCCGGCGTGGCTCAGTGGTTGAGCATCGACCTATGAACCAAGAGGTAACAGTTTGCTCTAACCACTGAGTGAGACCAGCCAGAGCTCACCGTTTTTACTTTACTCATTCTCAGTGTGCCTTAATTTACATTCCCCTAAGGAACAAAGATGGCGAACATCCTTCTATGTGATTATTAGCCACCTGTGTGTCCTCTTTGGTGAAGTGTCTGTTCATGTCTTTTGACCATTTTCCTTTTTTTTAAAAAAAAATATATATTTTACTGATTTTCCACAGAGAGGAAGAGAGAGGGGTAGAGAGTTAGAAACGTCGATGAGAGAGAAACATCGACCAGCTGCCTCTTGCACACCCCCTACTGGGGATGAGCCCGCAACCAATGTACATGCCCTTGACCGGAATCGAACCTGGAACCTTTCAGTCCGCAGGCCAACGCTCTATCCACTGAGCCAAACCGGTTTTGGCGACCATTTTCCTTTTTCTTTGCTATTTTAAAAAATATATATTTCTTTATTGATTTCAGAGAGAAAGGGAGAAGGAGAGAGAGATAGAAACATCAATGATAAGAGAGAACCATTGATCAGCTGCCTCCCGCATGCTCCCCACTGGGGATCAAGCCCGCAACCCAGGCATGTGCCGTTGGGCGGAATTGAACCTGGGACCCTTCAGTCCGCAGGCTGCTGCTCTATCCACTGGGCCAAGCCGGCTAAGGTCCCATTTTCTAATTGGACTGTTTGTGTTACTGTTGAGGTTTAAGAATTCTTTATGTATTCTAGATGCGAGTCCCTTGTTGAGTGTGTGGCTTTAAAATATTTCCCCCGCTTTATAGATTACCTTTTCATCCTCTTTTGTAGAGGAAGTTTTAAATTTTGAACAGTTTTTCATTTTGACTTTAAAAAAAAACACGTATTATCAATTTTTGTATTGCTCATCCTTTCAGGTCAAGTCTAAGAACTCTGTGCCTAGTCCTAGTTACCAAAGATTTTCTCCTGTTTTGTTCTAAAAGATGGATAGTTTTAAGTTTCACATTTAAGTCCACGATCCATTTTCAATTTTAGGTTTATTTATTTATTACCTGTGATGTTCAATAGCTCCAACACCATTTATTCAAAAGGCTATATTCCTCCTCCACTGGAGTGTTTTTACATCTTTGTAAAAAATCAGTCGGACACATCTGGGGTCTATTTCTGGGTTCTCTATTCCGCTCCGTTGATCTGTATGTCTATCTCTTTGCCAATATCACATTTGTCTTGATTACTACAGCTATATAGTAAGCGTTAACATTTGCTAGAATGGTTCCTCCAACTTTATTCTTCTTTTTCAAAATTGTTTTAGCTGTTCTAGGCCATTGGCTCTTTCATAAAATTATTAGAATAAGCCTATTCCTACAAACAACCTTGCTGGGATTTTTGGTCGGAACTGCATTAAACCTATAGATCATTTTGGGAAGAAATGATATCTTTGCTATGTTCAGTCTCCCAATCCACAAATACAATATGTCCCTCTATTTATTTGGGTCCTCTTTGATTTCTTTTATCAGCAATTAAAAAAAAATACAATTGATTGACTTTTTAGAGAGGGAGGGAGAGGGTGGAAGGGGAGGAAAGAAAGACAGAGAAACATTAATTTGTTGTGCCACTTATTTATGTTTCAGTATGTGCCCTGAGGATCGAACCCACAACTTTGGTGCCTTGGGACGATGCCCTAACCAACTAAACCACCTGGCCAGGGCTCACCAGCAATTTTTAATTTTCAGTATACAGATCTTATATCTGGTTTGTTAGATTCAGACCTAAGCATTTCATTTTCTCGGAAGCAATTTTGAATGGTATTGTGTTTTTAATTTCCATTTCCACATGCTCATTTTGAGTATATAGAAATGCAATTGATTTTTATGTGTTACTCTTTTGTCCTGCAAGCTTGCTGAATTCACGTATTAATTCTAGGGGTTTTGAATTATCTCCTATTTACTTGTTTTTGTCTGTCTTCCCCATGTGGCCCAGGGCACCCGGGGGCAAGAACTGGCCCGTGTTCAGTATTATATCCAGGCAACACTGGCACAGTGCCTAAAACACAAGAGACCCACAATAAATATTCCCAGAGAAATAAGCTATAGGACACGCCATTTAGTCCTATTATTATTGGCACTCTGGCTGTGGAACTCAAGACACGGCCAATTCCTAATTTTGAGTTCTGTCCTTGAACCACCATGAAACAAATAACTAACCACCCTCTATGTCCTGCCCAACCTACTGGTTGGATCCTCCTACACCAGAGCCCTTACCATGTCCACAAGTATCCCTTAGTTCACCCTACAATCACCTTCACCGGTGCCAGTCCTCGGAAACAGTTCCTGAGACCTCCCATGACCCCTCTGTCTATGCCAAGTAGCACCTTAGTAAGCACCCCATCTATTTCAATCCCAGGGACCCCGTGGTTATAACCACAGACCCCTGCCAGTCAAAACACTGCAGCCCCGTAGCATCTTAGGACAGCTGTCGCTGACTCTGTTTAAAAAGGCATCCAGCCTAAACTGGTTTGGCTCAGTGGATAGAGCATCAGTCTGCGGACTGAGGGGTCCCTGATTCGATTCCGATCAAGGGCATGTACATTGGTTGCCGGCACATCCCCGGTAGGGGCTGTGCAGGAGGCAGCTGGTCGATATTTCCCTATCATCGATGTTTCTAGCTCTCTGCCCCTTTACCTTTCTCTCTGTAAAAAAGTCAATAAAATGTGTAAAAAAAAAAAAAAAAAAAAATTTAGCCAAAACCGGTTTGGCTCAGTGGTAGAGCATCGGTCTGCAGACTGAAGGGACCCAGGTTCGATTCCCGTTAGGGGCGTGTACGTTGGTTGCGGGCACATCCCCGGTGGGGGGTGTGCAGGAGACAGCTGGTCAATGTTTCTCTCTCATCGACGTTTCTAGCTCTTTATCTCTCTCCCTTCCTCTCTGTAAAAAATCAATAAAATATATTTTTTTAAAAAAATTTTTAAATAAAAAATAAAAATGGATTTTATAGAGAGGAAGGGAGAAAGAGAAAAAGAGAGAGAGAAAAACAGATGTTTGAGAGAAACGTGGATCAGTGGCCTCCCGCATGCCCTAACCGGGGATGGAACCTGGAACCTGCTTATGTGCCCTGACAGGGAATAGAACCCACCACCTTTTGGTGTCCAGGGCTCTCCAACCAACCCAGCCACACCTGCCAGGCTCTGGAGACGTGTTTGGTTGCACAATTTGGGGAGGAGGGAGGTGCTCCTAGCGCCTGGTGCACAGAGGTGAGGAATTTGGCCAAACATCCTCCAACTCTTGAGAGGTCCCCCCACCACTAAATAATGATGCACTGGACCCATGTCAGGAGTGTGAGGCTGAGAAACCCTGTTAGAAGGTAAGAGAACGCAGGAACCCTGACCATCAGTCCCTGCTGCCCTCACCCCTGCTTCCTAGACCAAGCATGTCAAACTCAAAGGCTAACGCGGGCTTAATCAACCAAGTGTGCGGCCCGTGGGCCGCGAGTTTGACACGCTCGCTCTAGACTCCAGCGTCAGAAGCCAAGCCAGAAGCATCCACGTGCTGCAGCGTCTCACCTCCTTCCCCGCGGGCACATACACACCTTGCAATGCCCGTGGACAGGATGGCGGTGGAGGTCTTCAGTTCCTCGTAGAGGTCGGCGCCGTTGCAGGGGAAGGCTGAGAACTGGGCCAGCAGCACCCGCCGCAGGGCAACCAAGGCCTGCCGGAGGGGGGGGGGCAACTCAGGGTGGGCAGGGCGCTTCCACCCCGAGGACCCGAGTCCTCTGCAAGGAGCAAGGAGCAGGCGAGGGCGGGGGCACCCCGAGTCCCCTATGGCCCCCTCTCCTCCTGGTGGAACTTTGAGCTCCCTTAGCTCCTGCGGCTCGGGGACAGGCATAGAGGCACCCAGGTTCTGCAGGAGCAGACCACCAGCTCACCTTGTAAGACAAACCACACGTCCGGGCCACCTCCTCCAGGTCCGCGGAGACCAGGTCCGCCACTGAAACCGAGACACGTGTGGTTGATGGGCACGAAGGGCGCGGCTCTTACCCATCTGTAAAGTGGGGTGGCCATCCCCCCTGGAGGCAGGCTGTCTGAGGGAGCCCAGGGAACTCACTCACAGAGCCGCAGGGGTTCCGCCCCGCTGGAGGGAGGCCTGGCTCCCCAGAAGGGTGGGGAGCAGCGGAGGGAGGGCCGGCCCCGCCCCGGTCTGCAGGGCGCGGTGTGCCCAGCTGGGGGCACGCGCACGCGGTCACCTGTCCTGATCCCGTGGCTCCTCAGCAGCTGGACCATGTCCTGGGTGAGGCCTGGGCACAGCCCGGCCCTGAGCACGCCCATGTTCCCTGGGGCCCGTGGGCATCCGCGGGGCCCCCTCCAGGCGCCCTTTCCCGGAGCCCGGACGCGAGGCTCAAAGGGGCCGGGTCTCCCGCGCCCGGGGCCCGCCTGCCCGGGCCGCACCGCCTCTTCCGGCTTCCAGGCTCCGGCGCCGGCGGGCAGCGCCACCTGCTGGCCGTGCGGGGCGGATGCGCGCCCTCCCGCGGCCAAACAGGCCCCGCGGATCCACACAGGCTCCTGCACCCGCAAGCTCTATGCACGCTTGGGCATCCACATTCGCCTCTACCCCTTTCCCAAACACGCACGCAGACCTACCTAGGTGCCTCTATAGACCAGAAAGTTCCACAGTCCCTGTGCTCAGGGGACCCACCTGTTAGTGAGGGCAAGACAGCGAGGAGGAATGAAATCAACCAGGGAGGATATGACAGTCTATGATGAGCGCTAAGAAACAGCAGAGGACACAGACGACACCTGAGTCTCTGTATTTACTTTATTTTTAGAGAAAAGGGGAGGGAGGGAGAGAGAAACATCAATGTGAGAGAGAAACATTGGTTGCCTTCCGGACAGTCCCTGCCCAGGGATCCAACTGCCACCCAGCTATGTACCCTGACCAGGAATAGAACCTGCAACCTTTTGGTGCACGGGGACAGTGCTCATGTAACTGAGCCACACCGGCCAGGGCTTTAACGTTGTTTTATATATATCATTTGAAAAAAAAATGACAAAAACCTTGAGTATATAAAACACAAAGCCCTGAGTTTATAAAACACATAGGATTTATTATTCTGAATGTCCTTTGCTTTTGCCTCATCCTCTGGAAGAAACAAAACAACCTTACTGGGTTATCTCCTCATAACTCAGTGAGACAGGTGCTATTTTTTACCCCTAGTTTTCAGATGATGAGGCTGGGGGAGGTGAAGTCAGGGGCCAAAGTTAACAGAGCCGGTAAGGGCAGAACTGGACTTAGAGCAGCAAATTCACCTCTAAGTGCAAAGCCTGTGCTGCTTTAACAGTTTCTCTTCCCACCCCCAAAGTTGTGTGTATGTTTTCCTACCGTAGAGTGGTTCCCCTGAGAACAGAAATAACGTCTGGTCCATCTGTGTATCCCTCTGCAGCATCCTCCACTGTCACTCAACCCAGGAAGGCCCATGGGACACGTTTAGAATTCTGGCAGTAAAACCCGGGTAGGTATATGTGAGCCATGAATCCCATGGGCCAGCTCTGCTCTCCCTCTGCCTCCAGACCGGACACAGTGAGGGTTTGCTGCCTAGAATGTCTGGACATGGTGCCTCAGCATTCCACAGCCCCCCAGTCCCGAAGACCAGTCCCGTTCCGGTGTCTCCTCTCTCCCTGCCAGGGTGCCTCTCCTGCTGCCGTCCTCCTCCTCCCCAGGGCAGCTCCAAAGGGCATCCTCAGTGGTGAGCCTCTGAGATCTTTGCAGAAGGGCAGGGCCCCTGACCACCGGGCATTCGAGCTGGAAGGGGGATGCAGTCTGTTCCTTGGCTCCACCTTGCTCCAGACCCTGGCCCTGGCCCTGGGTAGCAGCAGCCTCAGGTCAAGGGGGAAGCTGTCCCCTAATTGTTACCCTCTGCGATGATTATGAAGTCAGCTCATTGCACTCCCCTCTCAGCCAAACTCCCCTGCCCCTCAGTTTCTCTTTACTTCCTGCCAGCTTGGTTGTCGGCGGTGGTCCCAAACTCACTCGATGGCATCAGAGGTGTTCTGTAAAATGGGAGATGGGGAGGAGAACATGATGAAAAAGGAAACTCTCATTTTGGATCAAACGTCGAAGCCCTTTCTCAACCCCAAGTCTATGAACAGGATGGTTGCCACCAAAGGACTCCCTCTTTCCTCAAGGGGCAGCTTGCTTAGCTTCATGGAGGAAGATGCCATCGACCTTCCCAATCTACCGTAAGATACAAGTCGGGTTCTGTCCTCCTTGCTCAGGCCGGAGCTGCGGGTGGGGAGAGGCTTGAAGAAGGGGTACTTCCCGGACCTGTCACAACCTGGGCCCTAGACTCCCCGGGGAGAGCATGTGTGCAGGTTGCACCATGGATTCCTGGGCCAACGTTCGTTCTTAGACACATGGAGGCCTCCTACTTCAGGAGGCCTTCTGGGCTTAGCCAGAGATTTGTTGACAGGACTCCTCATCCCCTTAGTCTAGTGAGGGCTCATCCTTTCCCCAGACACCCTGCCTCTTCCACTCTTCCATGGCTCCCCTCTCTCAATCCTCCCTTTTGATGCCTTCCCCTTCCTGATTATGTCCCCCCAATAACCTGTCTGTGTTCAGGCTGAGGTTGACTGCTTTTCCTTGGTGGTTCTGGGTTCCCTTTACTTCATTCCACAAAACTCTTTGAGTTCCTGTAAGGTGTCTGGCCCAGGATTTAAGAAGCTCCCAGCATGGGGTGTGTGTGTTTCTGTGTGTGTGTGCGCACATGTCAAAAATCAAGAATAATACAGACCATAGCATGGTCTGTGCTATGCCTGGGCACCTTGAGGTTTAGTATAGCTTGGGAGAGGGTGCAGTTAAGTCAGCCTTCTTGGAGGAAGTGATATGTGAGCTGAATGTCTGGCAAGGGTGGTAGTGGTGTTGATATGGTAGTAGTGAAGGGGGTGGATTCGGCCTGAGGAAGTTATCTGCAGGGCAGTTTCATGATGCCGTTATGGTCACACACAGCCCCACATTTAGAAGGGCCCTGTGCTTAGCTGAATGTCCTGATGTCATTCTCTTGATATTCTTAATAATTTTTGAAGAAAGGGGCCCACAAACAACGTAGCTGGTCCTGATTATATGAAAGGGAAATGGTGTCCATTCCCTAAAGGGATATGGGTGTTCCTCCTCATGCATTTGGCAAAGGCTTATTGTCTAAAGAACCTGTAGGTGGCAGGTATGGTTAAAGTGATGGATGCTTATAGGAAACCTCATGCTCCAGGGGTCCTTCTCTGGGACTTTGCCCCCTACTGTGGAGGGAAGCCTTAAAGTTTTAGCAGTTTCTAAAATTGTGGTTCTCAGAACACCTGCTCAGAATAGTCTGAGGATCCTATTAACTTTACCACAGTTCCATCCCAACCCATCCCATCCCATCCCATCCCATCCCATCCCATCCCATCCCAACCAGGGACCAGGAATCTGCACTTCCCACTTGTGTGCCCCGGTGTGCAGATGCGCTGCTGCTCAGCAGTAAGGGTGTTCTGAGCTGGGACCCTTGCACGTCAGGCCCAGGAGCTTTCAGGCTGCACGGGCCGGCTGGGTGCTCACCTGTCTCCCCTCGCACTCCAGGAAGGCGATGCCAGGGGAGGAATCTGAATGCAGCTCCGACGACACCAGCATCTCCCCCATCTCGTCAATCTTGCTGAATCCCATCAAACTGGCCGTGACCCAGCCCAACAGCAGCTTCTTTGCAGGGTTGCTGGAAGGCGAGCTGAACAAGCTCAGCATCACCTCGGTGGCCAAGAATACGAACAAGGAGGACCTGGCCCTCTGCCCCCATCGACCTCCATCCCAAATAGCCCCCGCGGGCCTGTTGGACCTGGACAACCCTGAGCTGGACACAGACACCTCCTCAACCTCCTCCAAGTCCTCCGTGGTCACGGACGTGCCAGAGGCTCCCTTCATCTGTGAACACACAGTCAGCGATTACACGGCCGTGGTGCGTTCTCCTCCTCCTGCGTTTGGCAAAGGCTTACTGTCTGCCCGCAATGTGCCAGGCACTGAGCTGAGCTCTGTGGGGAGCGTGAAGATGCCTAACCCCGGCAGTCTGACCTCACGTTCATAGGTTAGGGGAGAGGGCATGTTTGTAAGGAACTCCAGTGCAAGCTAGAAAGGGCTCATTGCTGTAGGAGGAGTTCAGATCGAGCCCACCAGGAAGTCAGAGGGAAGGACGCATTGCTTCCAGGTGCAGGAACTAGCTCTTGGTAACACTGGGGCAGAGGGAGGATTTAAACATCTAGAGATGGGGGAAAGGCATTGCCTGGAGGGCTGACACTTAGCAAAGGCTCATGGGTGGGAAGATGGGGGAGAAAACACCCAGACCCCAATGAACGCTTTCCTGTGCCTGCAGACCGGATCATCTTGTTAAAAACAAGACTCCTGGTCCTTATCTGGTTGGCTCAGTAGGCCTGGGGGTGGGGGTGAGGACATACTGCCGACAAATTCCCAGGTGATGCTGAGGGCCCCGGGCCCCAGGTTGAGAAGCATTGTCCCAGCAGAATAGATGGGGAAAGTCAGCGTGGGGTCATTTCCCAGAAGTCCTCCGAAGTCAGGCTTCTTTAAAGATTTTAAAGAATCTTAAAAGCCACGGAGACCAGCTTTTTGCAGAGCTTGATTTCTGGTGATGGAAGCAATCTGAGCTGTGTTTTTTAGGAAGATAAATCCGGAAGCTCCATTGTTGGAAGGCCTAGAGCAGCCTTTCTCAAAAGTGTGGTTCCCGGACCCCCACCAGGGTCAGCATCCCCTGGCAGCTAGTTACAAATTTAAATCTTGCTCCCCCTCCCATCCGACCGCCTCCCAGACTGTCAGGGCAGGCAGGGACCAGCAGTCTGTTTTAAAAGTCCTCCAGGGTATTCTGGTGCACCCCAGTTTGGGAACTACTTGGCCTAGACAGGGGAGGAACTGTAAGTGGAGACCAGCCAGGGGACAGCCGGCCAGGAATGTGCAGTTACTAAAACTTCCTGGGGTCCTTAGCCAGGCTGGTGTGGCAACCACTGCTGTGTAATGCAAAGCACATGAGCTCTGGAGCTACTGGTTTGATCCCCGTCACTTAACTGCTATGTGACCGTGGGCCAGCCACTTCCCTCTGACCCACCTGCAATGAGTGAGGTGGTCAAGACCATCTCTTAAGGTCCCTCTCAACGGACGTAGTCTAGAACAGCGATTTGCAACCCCGATGTGCTGCAAGAATTTTCAAAGCATGCATGTGCCATGGTACTGGTTGACTATTTAGTGCAGGTATGGCATGTTTTTTTAAATTTTTTATTTTTTATTGATTTTTTACAGAGAGGAAGAGAGAGGGATAGAGAGTTAGAAACATCACTGAGAGAAACATTGATTCAGCTGCTTCCTGCACACCTCCCACTGGGGATGTGCCCACAACCAAGGTACATGCCCCTGACCGGAATTGAACCCGGGACCTTTCAGTCCGCAGGCCAATGTTCTATCCTCTGAGCCAAACCGGTTTTGGCGGGTATGGCATGTTTTAGCAATTCTCAGGGCACACTGGTTGAAAAGCGCTGGTCTAGAAGAAATGGGAGGAAGGCACGTTCCACGGTAAGTGGGGCTGGGCAGGGAGAGCCGCATATGCTTCGTGCTGGTGGTTTCCGCATCCGGTTGGGGCACCTCCCATCAGACTTGCCTCAGCTCCAGCAGGGACAGGGGCATTCCCACCCATGTGGGGGTGTGAGGTGCGAGTCGGGGGGGACGGGCGGACAGCCCGGGCCAGGTCTGAGGAAGCTTTGGGGGGCTCTCTTCCCCACTAGATCTCCTGGACCTACGCCCTGAGCAGGCAGCCGGTCAGTTTCTACCAGGTCCTGCTGCAGGAGATGGCCAAGAAAAACGACAAGGCCCCCAAGACCAAGAATTGCCCGTGGATCTTCCACAAGATCTTGGGGACCACCGTCAAGCTGATGGAGCTGAAGCCCAACACAAGCTACTGCCTCATCGTCCGGGCCATCAACACCGCGGGGGCGGGGAAGTGGTGCAAGCCCTACAAAGTGAGCCCTGGAAGATGGGGGCCCACGGGGTTAGGGAGAGGTCTACGCCACGCGCTTTGGAGGTTGGGGACACCCGATCCCCCCAGGACATCTCCCTGCTTGCTTTCCCTCTGCCTGCGCAAATACACTTCAACTCCCAAGTTGCTCCCTTCTGGGAGGCTTAAGGAGTAAGCCACTCTGGTGCCCACTGGGAATGCAGATACTCATCAGCATCACTCTAAGGTTCATCTTGCAACTCGGTACCAATGACTGTGAATGGGTCAGGAAGTCCAGGGCATTGACAGGTAGAGGACAGGGGCTGGGCTGAAGGGAGACAAAGCAGGAAGCAGCCTGGGGGTGGGTAAGGGCATGGGGTCAGGGAGAGGCCCAGGTCCACCTGTGGTTGGAAATATCACGGGTTTGAGTCATGCCTTCTGGTGTTGCGATGTAGGTTGGTAATGCTACGAAGATCCCATTTAACAAACCCACACCGGGGACGGCCAAGACAGAGAGGTCAGGTCCGGGAAGGAAGTCTGAGGGGTTCTCTCTTGTGATTTCAGTTTGCGACCTTGGCCAATGACCTGACCAGCTTCCCCGAGAACAACCCCATCCAGATCACCGTGCGGCGCAAGGAATCGCAGAGGAAAACGGTGACCATGAGGCAGGCCGAGATGCGGAGGATGGAAGATCTGGAGAATGTATTTCCCTACTGAGGGAGAGGGCCCCAGGGCACTGCAGGCCAGGTCAGCCACTGCCCACAGCTGTAGTCACACCCTCCCCAGATCCAGGCTAAGCCCAGACCCCTCATTAAAGAACTGCAGGTCACTCAGCACCTCTCCATTCTGCTTCATGTTGTGCCCAGCCACCACAAAACAAACGAACTTAGCACAGACCTTGGTTGAGTCCGGGGATTCTAGACAAGGGATTATAACCCAAACACACAAAATATAAGTTATTTATTTGGTCACAGAACCTGGGGTCTGACTCTGAATAGAGCTGGCAGCTGGGAAAGGAGGCAGGGGCGGCAGCAGGGTCTAGTCACTGCCCAGCCTCCTGTCACCCCTGATGGTACGGGGAAGGTGCAGAGTGCCGGCCAAGGGCTGAGCTTTGTGGTCACCTCCCGTGACCTCCGTCTTCTGTTCTAGTGTCTGTGCGAGGACAGCAGGCCTCACTTGTTCTCCGGGTCACCACCCCGGCCTTCGGTCTGTCAGGGCAGGCAGCTGGCACGGGCCAAGTCCAGGTGGGGGTCATCTCCTCCATCTGTGGAGAGAGGAGGGACAGCGGGGATGTGACCCGCAGGAAAGGGAGGTGGCCATGCGATCCCAGGCGCCCACCACAGGGAGAACCTGTGGTTTCCCCCCAGTCAACCAGAGCCTGGCTACCGTCTCAGCCTAACTCAGGCTGGGCACCCGCCGCCTGCCTCACCCGGGCCTCAGACCGGGCCCGGCCCCTGGGGTGCCCAGCAAGTTGTCCTATGACAGTGACAGTTGTTTACAAGCACGCAACGCTCTGGTGCCAAGGTGTGTTCACCGCCTACCTCTGCTCTTCCTGGCTGCTAAGGTCTGATAACCCCCAAGAGACAGTTAGCCAAGGCCTCCCAGGCTGCACACTGAAGGGAGAACCAGGGTTTGAATGAGGTCTTAAGACTCCCAAGTCCAGTGCTCACAAAGAACTATTGCCTCGTGTGGAGCCACCCTCCACAGAGCAGCCTCAGAACTGTCCGGGTCTCCCATAATCCCTACAATGCCCGTCCTGGCTACCTGGCAAACCCTCCGAATCCTACGCCAGAAGGGAAAGCCACAGAGTGACGGCAGAGCCCAGCACACCCATCACCCCCCCCCCCCACAACTCACATGCGGAGGCATTTGTCCTTCCCACCACTTGCCACCCTCTGGCCATCTGGACTCCAGTCGACAGCATACACCTAGACCGAGGAGGAGGAGGAAGGAAAGCGGGCCGGTGAGGTGGTGAGGGAGAAGGCCCGGGCCTCCATGCCATACCCGCAGGGTCGGCTGTACCTCATCCGCGTGGCCCGGCAAGTCTGTGGCCAGCTTCTGCGCCTTCACGTCCCACACCTTCAGAGTGCTGTCACTGCTGCCACTGACCAGGAGCCGGCTGTCAGCGGACCACGCAATCTGGTACACGGCAGCCACGTGGCCACGCAGGGAAGCCAGGTACCTGGGCCACGGGAAGAAGACGATGATGATGGAGATTAGATCATCAAGCACGCCTGAAGGGTCCTCTATGCCCATAGCTGTAGTTTTCAACCTTGACTGCATGTTAGAATTACCTGGGAACTTTCATAAAATCCCACTGCCTGGCCCCGCCCCAGGCCGTGGAATCATTACTGCCCATTACGCATTCTTTTTTTTTTTTCTTTTTCTTTTTTAAATATATTTTATTGATTTTTTACAGAGAGGAAGGGAGAGAGTTAGAAATGTCGATGAGAGAGAAACATCGACCAGCTGCCTCTTGCACACCCTCTACCGGGGATGTGCCCGCAACCAATGTACATGCCCTTGACCTGAATCGAACCTGGGACCTTTCAGTCCGCAGACTCTACCACTGAGCCAAACCGGCTTCAGCCCATTATGCATTCTTAAAACTTCTCCAAACGAGCCGCTTCTAGGGTGCCTCTTGCCAGGCCTCCCTACCCACTCAGCTTTGCATGCCTTAGAATCCAACTCTGCCATCTGCTTGGCCCATCTGCCCGGCATCCCCCCAATAGGACAGTTGCTTGCTGACAGGTGGCGTGGAGTGAAACTGGGCCAGGCACACCTGGAACTTTCAGACCAATACAGACTGTGTCACTGGGACAAGTTATTAGGCATCTCTCAAACGCAGTTTTCCTACCTTACAAAGGAGCCGAGTGGCTGTTTCAAAGGGCTGCTGTGCAAAAACACACACTGACACACAGGTGCCAAGGACTTCTCTGCTCCTTCCTGCCCGTGCCCTGGCCTCTCCTCCAAACTAATTAACCCTCTCCTCCAAACTAATTAACCCCGATGGACCTAGAGGGTATTATGCTAAGTGAAATAATACCATATGATTTCACTTATATGTGGGATCTAAAAAACACAATAAATGAACAAACAAAACAAACTCAGATAGGGAACAAACTGATTTACAGAACAGTCCTGGGGATGTAAAGAACAGCAACGGGAATATAGTTAATAATACTGTAATAACCACATATGGTGCGCAGTGCCCTCGGGGTTAATTAGTTTGGAGGGGCTTCTCAGACTTGGCGACAAGCAGAATCACTTGGTGGCCTTATTAAAACGCAGGTGCCGTGGCGATCATCAATAAATCAACCAACAAGGGTGGTGAGGATGCGGAGACAAGGGAACGCTCAGGCACTGCTGGTGGGAATGTAAATTGGTTCAGCCGCTATAGGAAACAGTAGGAAGGTTCTTCAAACAACTGCAAATAGAACTGCCGAAGGACCCAGTATTTCCCCTTCTGGCTTTTATCCAAAGAAATCCAAAACACGAATTCTAAAAGATGGATGCGTCTCCATGCTCACTGCAGCATTATTTACAATAGCCAAGACATGGAAGCAACTTCAGCATCCACTGACAGAAAACAGGTAAAGAAAATGGGGTGCACATATACACGATGGAATATTATGCAGCCATAAAAAAGAATGAAATCTTGCCAAAACCAGTTTGGCTCAGTGGTAGAGTCTGCGGACTGAAAGGTCCCAGGTTCGATTCCGGTCAAGGGCATGTACATTGGTTGCGGGCACATCCCGGGTAGGGGGTGTGCAAGAGGCGGCTGGTCGATGTTTCTCTCTCATCGACGTTTCTAGCTCTCTATCTCTCTCCCTTCCTCTCTGTAAAAAAATCAATAAAATATTATATATATATGTATTTAAAAAAAAGAATGAAATGTTGAAATTTGTGACAACATGGATGGACCTAGAGGGTATTATGCTAAGTGAAATAATACCATATGATTTCACTTATATGTGGGATCTAAAAAACACAATAAATGAACAAACAAAACAAACTCAGATAGGGAACAAACTGATTTACAGAACAGTCCTGGGGATGTAAAGAACAGCAACGGGAATATAGTTAATAATACTGTAATAACCACATATGGTGTCAGGTGGGTACTAGACTTCCTGGGTGGTTACCTCATAAGGTATCTAAATGTCTAGTCACTATGCTGTACACCTGAAACTAATGTAATCTTGTATGCCAAATATAATTGGAAAATTAATCTAAAATCTTGATTTGATGAGATCCCGAGATTCTGTATTTCTATCAAATTCCCAGATATTACTGCTGCCAGTAGTCTCTGGACCACACTTGGAGGAAGAGCAGTGTTAAGATCATCTCTCTCCTCAGATGTGAAATGAACTAGCGTTTTCAGTGCCTACTTAGTGCTGCTGCTAAATACAACATTTCATTCAACCCTGGTAACAAGGCTGACGGGCCAGGCGTCTTCTCATGAAAGAGGAGGACATGGCGGCTCAGGAAACAAGACACTTGCCACACTGGTCAGTGGCAGAACCAGGCCCTCCCAGAGCAACAGTGGCCTTCCTCTCCCTCCCCCACCTCCGCTCACCTGCCCGTCCTGCCGTCCCACAGCTTGATGGACTTGTCGAAGGAGGCGCTGGCCACCAGGCGGGAGTCCGGGGAGAAGAGCACCTGGTTGATGAGGGCCTGGTGTCCCGTCATCCGTGCGAGGGGCTTCTTGTCCTCTGCTGGGGACCACAGGAATAAGGTGAAGTCGTCGGAGCCAGACACCAGCCTCTCTGGGCCCTGGCCCTGGGGGGGGGGGGGGGGAGGCAGAAAGACAACGTTAAACACGGTCTCAGACGGGAGACCCTGACCTCAGCAACAAACACGCTACTGATTACTCAAAGCCAGCACGGCGGCCAGGACCGAGCAGTGAGGCTCGGGCCAGCTACCAACTCCTGGGAGTTACTTCCCCCGAGCCCCAAAAAGAAACTTTACGAACACAGGACAATTTCTAAGATGTAATTCTATGAAAAAGCCAGGTACAGAGTGGTGTGTTAAAAAAAAAAAAAAAAAAAAAAAGGAAGGAACCGAGACTGGTTTGGCTCAGTGGATAGAGCATCGGCCTGCAAACTGAAAAGTCCCAGTTTCAATTCCAGTCAAGGGCATGTGCTGTGGTTGTGGGCACATTCCCAGTGGGAGGTGTCAGGAGGCAGCTGATCGATGTCTCTTTTTCATCGATGTTTCTGACTCTCTATCCCTCTCTTCTCTGTAAAAATCAATAAAATATATTTTTTTAAAAAGGGGGAAGGATTGCCGAAACCGGTTTGGCTCAGTGAATAGAGTGTCGGCCTGCGGACTGAAAGGTCCCAGGTTCGATTCCAGTCAAGGGCACATCCCCAATAAAAATAAATATATTTTAAAAAAAGAGTACACGCTAATAACAATAACACAGTAAATACGCAAAACAGCTGCTTATTATTACTATCAAGTACTACGTACTGTACGTAACTGTTCATGCTGTACTTCTATACGACTGGCAGTGCGATAGGTCTGCTAACACCAGCATCACCACAAACATGAGCAATGCACTGTGGGAGGATGTGGGGACAGGGACATCGCTAGGCGACAGGAGTGTTTCAGCTTCACTATAATGTTATGACCATCGCACATGTGGTCTGTTGTTGACTGAAACGCCTTTATGCAGCACGCATTGTATACAGTGTATGTACATACAGGCATGTGTGTATATATGAAGTCTGGAAGGAAAAACAAAATTCTGGCACTGGATGCTTCTAAAAGGAACGGATGAGATATTTTTCACTATCTCTTTTTCTGTGTGCTTTGAAGTTGTGGCCATGTGAATGTGTTACCTAAACTAAACTAAATAAAAGAGAGAGGCATCTTGGGAACGCCATGAATAGAGAAACAAACAGAACAAAATAAAATAAAATGATCCCAAGCACATGAAGACCTTAGAAGTATAAACTAGGATTTTCAAGAACAACTTTCCAGAAGAAGCACTTTCTGGGGAGGGGCTAGAGGCAGAGGGGCTGAGTGTCCGCAGAGGGCTGCAGGCTCTAAGCCAGACGAGCCCAGAGGTGGGGGTGGCAGCGGCTGGCACACACTCACCCGCACGGCGTTGTACCGGTTCAGAGCCCTCTCCTTCAGCTCCTGCACTGTGTCCACGCACCGGAGGGGAGAGAAGGTGAGGCGGGAGGCCGGTTAGAAAATCCAACACAAACAGCAAACACCCCAGCCTACATTCTTCTCCCGCTCACTCACAGGACCCCTGCAGGTCTTGGGGGTTGACCGAGGCCTCCGCTGGCTCAAAGGCCCCTGTGCGCAGGGCGTAGTCGGTGCTGAGGGCCATGGTGTTCACCCAGTGGCCGTGGCCTTGCAGAGTCCGGCAGAGCACACCCTGGGGGAGGAGGAGGTAGGTCAGAAAGGTCAGGCGCACATGCCACTCTCTTACCCACGGAAACTGCACCTCCAGATTAGCCCAGGGCACTCGGAGTCAGGACCCTCCTTCACTGGGATCTTCATCAAACCACCCTCATGGCCTCAAGTCTCTCCTCATTGGGAAAAGAGAGCAATGTTTCTGAAAACATGTCTCATGGAAGGAAGCGAAGTAGGTCAGAATGAAAAGGCTCCGGCCAAGTCAGGTTAGAATGAAGTGAAACAGGCCTCCCTCCGCAGGAAGGCCCAGAGCCCGCCTGCGCTAACAGACACGGCAGCCTCTCACGGCGCAGCACCAGCCTCAGGGCCCCGTGCTCCCAGTGTCTCCTCGGCCTGGCTCTCAGGACATGCTCCGGAGCCACCCGTCCATGTCCCCCTCCCCCCCCCCCCCCGCGCTGGCGCCCCGGGGCCTGAGATTCGCCCAGACCGGCTTCGGGACCCCCCTCCCCCCAGCTCTCACGTCGTGAGCCCGCCAGACTTTGACGGTGCGGTCCTGGGAGGCGGAGTAGAGGAGCCCATCGCCTCCCCAGCGGAGGCAGGTGACGGACTGGGTGTGCCCCGTGAGGATGCGCTCGCAGCGGCCGGAGGTCGTGTCCCAGACCCGCACGCTGCCGTCCTTGGAGCTGCTGGCCACATAGCGGCACTCGGGGTTCCTGGGAGGGGAAGGGAGAAGCGACCCCACATCAGACCCGGCAGCGCCCGCCTTCCCGCGGCGCCGCCCCATTCCCAAGTCCAGGGTCAGGACTACGTCTGCGCAGCTTCTCGACCCCAAGACTCAGCGGCACCTGCAGGCGGCTCTCGGGCCCTGTGATGAGCAGCCCCGTCTGCGTCAGGTGCGCAGGGGGAGAGCTTTGAACCCCTCGTTCCTCGTTCCCCCGCCGTGTCCGAGTCACTCACACGTGGAGGGGCTCCCAGCTCAGGCCCGTGATCCACTTGCTGTGGCCGGCGAGGGTCCTGCCCACCTGCTTCCCTGTCCCCGGGTCCCACAGGAGAATCTGAAAGACAGAAGCTCACGTAAGCCTCCCGAACGTCCCCCTGCCCCACCCACCCACCTCCCTCAGCACCCGGAACCCCACTGGGTCCCCGCCTAGCACCCTGACCACCACCTACCTGGCCATTCTTGCAGCCCGAGGCCAGCTTCTTGCCGTCGGGGGACCAGGCTATGCTGAGGACCCAGTGTCTGTGTCCTGAGAAAGAAGGGAAGGGAGAAAGGAGGGACACCTGTTCTCACCCCCGTTCCTAGCCGCGCCTGGCACACAGCAGGAGCTCCTAAGCTCGTTGCTGAATGAGCGGACGATCGGGGGAAAGGAGAGACAAGGTTTCCTAGGCAGCAGGAGAACACACGCCAAGTGCTAGAAGCATGCTGTACGGATAACACTGTGATTCCCCACATGACATGTGATCTAAAGCCTTTTCATGCATGTCATCCCTTGAAATTCTCACACTAGCACTAAGGTAGGAGGCAGAGCAGGAACGACCAGCCCCCTTTTCCAGAAGAGACAACAGAAGCTTAAAAAGGGCGTACGCTCTCCACACACACAAGGCCTCGCCAGTGCGGCCCCCAGACTAGCATCAGCAGCACCACTAGAGGCGATTCCGATGAGCGTTTCTGTTTGAGAACCACTCTGGCAGAGGCTGGATGTAAGCCAGGTCCTCCTTGCTACTAGCCAGTCAGCCCCTCCGCACACCCCCGCACTTTCTCTTAGGTCTAGTCTGCTTGTTTTTAAGAGGCCGGCTAGGCCCAAGGGTGCAGTCTCTACTCGAGGACAGGTAAATCACTAAGCGGACACGAAGGAGTTGGAATCTGCCTCCTCAGGAATTAAAGGGCTGGAGCGGGTCACCCGCCCCACTCCCCCCCCCCCCCCCCCCGTCAGACCCCCTGAACGGCTAGCTGCACACTGACCCTGGCATGTGAAATGCGGGGTCTCGGTGCTCAGGTCCCAGAAGCGCACGGTTGAGTCTCCAGAGCCGCTGGCCAGGTACCTGGAGAAGAGAGAGGGCGGCCTGATCTCTGACCCCGAGACACTGCCCATTTCTGCTGCCTGTGCCACTGTCTTCTGGGACCAGCGTCTGGGACTGGACTCTCCTCTCCCGTGACAAGGAGACACGCACCCCTCCTGCCACCTGGGAGAAGACCCCAGGAGGTCATTTCGCTTCTCTTCCTTCCCGAGGGGAATGGCCACAGCTGTAACCAGATTTAAAGCTTCTCACTAGCCAAAACCGGTTCGGCTCAGTGGGAGCATTGGTCTGCGGACTGAAGGGTCCCAGGTTCGATTCCAGTCAAAGGCATGTACCCTGGTTGCAGGCACATCCCCAGTGGGGAGTGTGCAGGAGGCAGCTGATGGATGTTTCTCTCACTGATGTTTCTATTTCTCTCATTGATGTTTCTAGCTTTCTATCCCCCTTCCTTCCTCTCTATTAAAAAAAAATCAATAAAATATATATATATTTTTAAAAAGCTTCTCACTATCCTCACAGGACCGGGAGGAGCAACGAAACCCAGTTCCACAGATGAGGAGGAAGTAACTCAGGTCACGTGACCTGCCCAGGTCACACAGCCAGAAGGGGCAGAGCTGAGCGTGCGGCTCGGTCTCCCGAGATCAAGTCCAGGAAGGCCTCTTCCAAGGCAGGTGACCTTGGCCTTTGTGGGGCAAGCCTCCCTTGGGAAATCCTACTTGCAGCCTGAGCCCAGAGCTGGGGTCTAGGATAGGCTGCCCGAGGCCAACACGCATCATCACTTGGGGGTTCCCTCCTCACCCCACCCAGAGGCTGCACCCCTCCCCTCCCCTCCGTAACTGGGCAGCTGTCCTTACTTTCCTGTGGGGCTGAAGGCCACGGAAATGACCGCCTCGCTGTGACCCTCCAGGGAGCTGGTGCAGCGGGTCACGGCGCGGACCTTGAAGACGGCCTGTGGCTGGTACACAATGTCCAGGACCTTCTCCGTCTCCACCGCCTGGGACTCCAGCGTCCTCCCCAGCGAGGACACGATCTCGGCATCGTGGACGTAGAAAGCCAGTGGCAGGGGATCCTCCTGCAGGGCAGAGGGCAACTCTCCCACCAAACGCCGGGCAGGGGCCCCTGCACCAGGGCGGCTCCCCAGGGCGCGGTGGGAGGTAACACTTCCTTCTTTTCAGCCCTCGTCATTCCCCCCAGAGTTAGACCTTCTTAATCCTCGAAGAACAATAAGGGGAGGCTGACACAGCACTGTAAAACCCTTCTCTGCATCCCACAACAACTATGGGAGGTAGGCATTCATATTCCCACTTGAAAGATGGAAGGAAAAAAAACCAAAACAACCTGAGGCTCTGAGCAACTAAGAAATTAGTCCAACATCCTATTGCTAATGACTAATTCAGATCCGTTAGTGCTCTTTAAGGAGAACACTCGAGTCCAGGATTAGTATACACCATCATGCAGTGTTTCCCAAACCACCACACCTCGCTGTACAATGTGTAAGCAGCCTCCAAAAAGCTGTTTGGAAATGCAGGCTCTGCTTCACCCCTAGGCCTCCCCTCCAGTCTGATGTAATAAGTCTGAGGTGGAGTCCAAATTCTGCACCTGTAAGCACCTCCCACCCCAACAGAGGGCAGCACGTTGGAAACACTGGCTCTGGAGTTAAAAAGAGCATGGGCTTTGAGTTTGACACATTTGGATTCCAGCTCCAAACTACCGTCTACCACGTAGCATCACCGTGCGAAGGACAATGCCTCCGGGCTGCCCCGCACCATGGGGCGGATCCAGGAGTGGCCGTGGCGAGGGCTCTGCATCTGACAAGGCATCCGATGCCTCCCAAACGCAGTCTCTCTCCGCAAGGGACCGCGATGGTCTGTCCGGCCGGCATGTACATGGCTCTCACCCCGATGTCTCCGTCTGACCCTCCCCGGGCTCGCGCAGGGGTGCATCACCCCCCCGGGGGGGGTTCGGAGGGGGGCCCGGGAGCCCCCGATCTTAGGCCTTTGGATCCCCGGCAGGCCCGCCCCCGGGAGGCGCCGCCCGCCGCTCACCTGGGCCAGCAGCGCGTTGCAGATGAGCTGCAGCTTGTCCGGGGTGATGTCCACGGGCACGTCGAACGGGGAGCCCAGCAGCTGCCCGCCCTCATCCTGGAACTGCACCAGCAGCCGCTGCGCGTCGCGCGCCGCCGCCTCGTCCTGCGCCGACACGCGCAGCGGGCGTCAGCCACGCGCCCGGGAGGGAAGGGTCCCCGCTCCCGCCTCTTTCCCTCCTTCCCTCCCTCCCTCCCTCGTCGCGGACCTCGGGCACCAGCGCCCCCGCCCCCATCCACGCACACCCACCGCCACCGCCGCCGCCATCCTGCGTCCCCACGTGGAGGAGGAGAAAGACGCTGGAGGGAAAGAGCGCCGCCCATGCGGGCGGGTGGGGCCGCGGATCGCGACATCGCCCCCTGGTGTTGCGGAGGGGAAGTGTCCGCCGCGCCAGGCCTGGTACCCAGGACCTCCCTCGGACAGCTCCAGCTCGCAGCAGCCGCCCGGCTCAGTCCCTCCCAGTGCCTTGCAGAATGCAGACCTGTCTCTTCAGAACAGGGATACTTGCCCCACTTTACAGAAGGGGAAAATCGAGGCTCTGAGCGGTGTATTTTCCCAAAGGTCACAGAGATAGGAAATGACAGAAGACTGAATAGGCTCCAGGCAGCAAGCAGCCCTGTAGGGGATGACTTATAAGGCCAGAGGCTATTGGGTTGAGGGCAGAAATTATTGTTCTTTTCTTTTTTATTTAAAAACGTGACTTTTATTGTATTTTTATTATACATGTTTATTTACAAAAATTAGAATATATGGATAAGGAAAAGAATAAAATAAAAATCACTATAACTTTATACACTCAGAAATAAATCACTCTTTAAAAGCATTTACATTTATTGGGATGACATTGGTTAATAAAATTACATAAGTTTCAAAGGTACAGTGTTATAATACATCATCCATATATTGCATTGTGTGCTCATCACCCAAAGTTTAGTCTGCTTCTGTCACCATGTATTTGACCTTTACCCTCTTCAATCTCCCCCTACTCCCTTCCCCTTATTATTATTTTTTAAACTGATCAAATCAATTAATAATTGATGAGTACAAAAGCAGAAAATGTCTACAGTTCTCATTACTGCCAAGCAATAACAATAATAATGACAATAATAGCAATTGTTCTAAGTGCTTTACACATATAACTCTTAATCCTCACAACAACCTTTTTCTGCCCACGGTCGGTCCGGGAACCCATGGGGGATGTCCAATTGATGGGATATCCACAGGGAGCGGGCCTAAGCCGTCAGTGAGACATCCGTAGAGCTGCCACGGAGGTGGCAGAAGCTTACACCACTGCCGCTGCACTCGCCAGCTGTGAGCCAGGCTTCTGGCTGTGCCGTGCTCCCCTTGTGGGAGTGCACTAACCTCCAGGGGGCAGCTCCTGCATGGAGTGTCTGCCCCCTTGGTGGTCAGTGAATGTCATAGCAACTGGTCGTTCTGCCATTTGGTCAATTTGCATATTAACCTTTTATTATTATAGATAGGATTGGGATGACATGGGTTACTACAATGATACAGGTTTCAGGTATGCAATTCTACACTACATCATCTGTATATATTGTATTGTGTGTTTACCGCCCCAGCTCAAGTCTCCTCCCATCACCACTTATCTCCTCTTTACCTTCTTCTACCTCCCCCACCTCCCCTGCCCTCCGAACCCTTACATTCCACAGTCTGCTGGTCTTTCTGTAAAGCAAGGGCATTTCCAACAAGTGAATGCCAGAGGGTAGGAAAGTTGTGGACAAGGGAACAAGGGAAGGAACTTTCTTCCCTTTTCTTCCCTCCTCCCTCCAGAGGGCATTTCTGGAAGCCTCCAGCTCCTCCGGGACCTGGGCAGCTGTCCTGTGCTTCCACGTCTGTCAGCCCCTCAGCTGTCACTCTGCTCCCAAAATAGCTGTGGGTGGGGGAGGGAGGAGCGGTTGTTTATTTGGGATGGAGATGGAGAAGGGGCATCAGAGCTGTGCCTAGAGAAGCAGATCGGCTGGAGGGGTTCCCATACCTTCTGGATTTTTCTCTTACTCTTTGGGGTATGAGTTGCCCGAGCCCCTAGGACAGCCCCTGAGCAAGGTGCTGGGGCAGCCGTCAGTCAGCACCCGCCTCCACGTGGTACTGACTGTCCAGTCTGGGCAGGGGGAGGGCCCTGGGTATCAATGACAGGCTCCAGGGGCACCTGCCCCTGTGTCCAAATATGGTCTGGAGCCACTGGCAGGGGCGATAAAGTCTCCTGGGGGGGGGGGGGGGCAGACCGAGGCTGGCTGGCTGGCTGGGGTTCACCGTGGAGCTCAGAGGAGCAGTGTCGCAGGAGAACAGACCCAGAGCATTCATTGTCTTTGTGAGAAAGTGAGGAGCCATGGGACTGTTGCCAGGAAGGGGAGGGAGAGGGGGGCTGGCACGGACTTTTAGGGTCTGCAGTGAGAGGTCAGGCCTTTGTCGTGGTGGCTTCACCTGCCCAGCTGGGAGGGGGGCACAGGGATGCGGAGACCCCTCTCACCGCGGCCCATGCTCCAAGCTCCAAGTTCTTCTGGGCCATGGCCTCAGGGGTGCTGGGCCTAGGTCTCCTCCAGGCTGAATCCTCACCGTCCGTCCCAGTGGGAGGGGACCCGGAGCTCCAGACCTCCAGCCGGGAGTCCGGCCCTGGGTCTGGAGTGAGTAGCTGGCCACCCAGAGCCGCCCTTTCCCGGCAGATGGCGGAGGCGGAAGCTGTGCAGCTGAAGGAGGAAGGGAATCGGCACTTCCAGCTCCAGGACTACAAGGCGGCGGCCAAGAGCTACAGCCAGGCCCTGAAGCTGACCAAGGACAAGGCGCTGCTGGCCACCCTCTACCGGAACCGGGCGGCCTGTGGCCTGAAGACGGTGTGGAGCCGGGCGGGAGGCCAGGGGATGGAGGCTGGGGGGCGGGGGCGGGAGGAGAAGGGGACTGGGATGCAGGCATTATCCACCCTCCATCCTGCCAGCCCTCTTCCCCTGGGCCCTTCAGGTTGGAGAGGGGCACCTCTCACTGCTTTCCTAGACCTTCCGCCCGGCCCACTCCTCTGGAGACAGCAGCTCCCCCAGATCCAAACCAGCCAGGGGCTCCCCTTAGGTTGCTGCCCGCGCTGTAGGTGAGAATCTCAAGGCTCAGAGGGTCAGTGATTTCCCAGGGAGTTAGTAGCAGAGCCCGAATGCAAACCCCAGTTTGCCTGATGCCAAAGCTCACCCACTTTTCCACAGCCAGCGAGGGGCCCTCCCTGAGGCCTCTGACAGCCCGAAGCTCCCAGCCACTGCCCCTGCCCCCTTCCCGTGGAGACCCCCTCAGACTGTCTCTGCATTGGGCCCACATGAACCGAGTCTCCTCCTTCTCTTTCTCAGGAGAGCTATGCTCAGGCCGCTTCAGATGCCTCCAGAGGTGAGCCACTCCTTGCCCCTTGCATCCCCCCCCCCCCCCCCCTGTTTTGTCTGAGAGGCTCTTGACATTCCAAGACAGGGGTCGGCAAACTCATTAGTCAACAGAAGCCAAGTATCAACAGTACAACGATTGAAATTTCTTCTGAGAGCCACATTTTTTAAACGTAAACTATATAGGTAGGTACATGGTTACTAACTGAATTAGGGTGCTCTTAAGCTGGCCTTTGCTAAAAACTCAAGGGGCCAAAGAGCCGCGTGTGGCTCTTGAGCTGCAGTTTGCCGACCACTGCTCCAAGGAATTACAGATTGTGTGAACTTCATCGCAGGCCTTGTAGGCGGGGCTTCACACGTGCCATCTGTGTCTAAGTCGCATTTGTGCAAATGGAGTTGCCTGTTAAATATGGTGCCGTGGCCTCTTCCTTGCTTAAGAGGTGCTTTTGGAAATCTTTTTCATGGTGTGGCACTCACCCCATTTGTTGAAAATTAGGATATTGCCATGGGGGACCCCCAGAACCGGGTCCATCAGCCCAGTCCTCTTCCGGGGGAGCCAGGCTTCCCTGTGCCACAACCACTGGGAGGAATAAACATAACAAAATAAACATAGGTCAACGTTGGCGTACGCATGATCAAAACGGGAAGGCTTCTCTGGGCTGCAGGTCTGTGTTGGGTTTTGATCCGGTCACCATTCTTTGAGGGGAAACAGAGAGCCCGGGGTGAGTGCAGAAGGTCGGGAACCGGCTGGAGAGGGGACTGGGAACATCCTGTGGACAGCAGTCCAGGGGAGTGGCAATATTTAGCTCCGAGAAGGCAGCTCCCAGGTGGGACGGAGGGGAGCGCTGCCTTCAAACCCCCAACAAGCAGATGCCGTCATGAGGAAGAGAGATTGGGTTTCACCTCGGGGATTCCAGGGCTGCCTGCAGGACAAAGGGGCCACGTGACAGAGAGAGAGAGGTTTCAGGGCGGAAAAGAGAAGGAAGGGCTCGATGGTGGGGCTGCCGGGCTGCCTGGGGAAGGAGAAAGCTCCCCACCGCCTGAGGGATGCAAGCACCAGCTGGATGAGGGATGCTTGGTGGGGGTCATCATGTAGCAGATTCCGGAACATCAGGGGTTGGGCAAGATGACCCTCAAACTTCCTCCCAGCCTTGAGACTATGATTTAATATATATATATATATATGTATATATATATATATATATATATATATATATATATATATATATAGCTGAAAGCGGTTTAGCTCAGTGGATAGAGCGTCGGCCTTCAGACTGAAGGGTCCTGGATTCAATTCCGGTCAAGGGCATGTGCCTTGGTTGCGGGCACATCCCCAGTGGGGGGGCGTGCAGGAAGCAGCTGATCAGTGACTCTCTCTCATCGATGTTTCTAACTCTCTATCTCTCTCCCTTCCTCTTTGTAAAAAATAAATCAAATATATATATATATATATATCTCCAAAACCGGTTTGACTCAGTGGATAGAATATCAGCCTGCAAACTGAAAGGTCCCAGGTTCAATTCTGGTCAAGGGCATGTACCTTGGTTGCGGGCACATCCACATTAGGGAGTGTGCAGGAGGTAGTTGGTCGATGTTTCTAACTCTCTAATCTCTCTCCCTTCCACTCTGTAAAAAAAAACAAAACAATAAAATATATTAAAAAAAAATATATTTTTTTTAATTAATTAATTAATTTATTTTCCCCTTCCCCAGAGAGGAAGGGAAAGGGATAGCGAGTTAGAAACATCAATGAGAGAGAAACATTGACCAGCTGCCTCCTGCACACTCCCACCGGGGATGTGCCTAAAACTAATGCCCTTGACCGGAACCGAACCTGGGACCCTTCAGTCCGCAGGCTGATGCTCTATCCACTGAGCCACACCGGTTTCGGTGAAACTATGATTTTTACTCTCCCCTTAACAAAGGGGAGCTTTGGGTCAATCTTCTGTATGGGTAGGTAATCTCAAAGGAAGAGATTGGGGGTATGAGAAGGGGGGGAGGAAGGCGGTCTGTAGCCCGGCCCCCTAAGGCCCTGCCTGTCACCCTCGCTAGCCATTGACATCAACTCCTCGGACATCAAGGCCCTGTTCCGGCGATGCCAGGCGCTGGAGCACCTGGGGAAGTTGGACCAGGCCTTCAAGGACGTGCAGCGCTGCGCCACCCTTGAGCCCCGGAACCAGAACTTCCAGGAGACCCTGAGGAGGCTCAATGCTAGCATTCAGGAGAAGGTGAGCCGACTTCCGCCCACAAGTCTTGGCCACCTCCCCCCGTTCCTGAAGGGGCGTGTTAGAGAGGCAGGACGTCAGGGCAAGGCTAGTCCTTGTGAACACGTGGCACAAGCGGGTACCCCGTGTGAGTGACCAGAGATGCGGGGATGCTTGTTTAAGGGTTTGAGCCTGCATGACTAGAACTTTTACATTCCAGATGGAGGTTTTGGTGGTGGTGGTTTGTGTGTGTGTGTGTGTGTGTGTGTGTGTGTGTGTGTGTGTGTTTAATTGCATCAATATTACTGCAACTCTTCCTCTGTTTCTAGGAGGATAAAGGCAGCATGAGATACCTGGGAGTGGGGGAGGGTGTAATTGGTGGCAGATGGGGTCAGGAGCCAGTAGGAATGGGACATCTTTTCTAGGAAGATGGAGTGCCGTGAGGAGAACTTGGACCAGAGATGAGAGCTCCTGCATCTACTCCCGCCTTAGCTGTCAATTTCTGAGGGACCTCGTGGGGTGGCAGTTTCTCCTCTGTAGGGTGACAAATCACTCAGCTCCCGGTTCCTAGACTCAGTAACTCCTATGTGCCTGGGGCAACCCCACGGTGGGACTCCACTGTGGGTCCACTGTCCAGAGTGTAGACTCGGAGCTGAGGGAATGCGAACGAAGGAGTGATCAAAGAAAGAGCCGTGCGTGGGAGCCTCTCCCGCCCTGAAGACCAGGATGGAGATAGAGGGGAGTGTGGGCCAGCACAGCCACACAGTGGGAAGTACAGAAGGAGCTGGTGAGATGGGGAAGATGATCAGTTTGGTCATTTTATGAAAGCCTCAGAGCACTGGGGTTGGGGTTGGGATTGTGAGGGATGAGGCATCTAAACATAATGGTTTCCATTGCTTGGGGAGCCCCTTTAAAACTGCTTCAGGCTTCTGATCCTGGAGCCATATTTCTGTTTTAGTCCATCTCGAAATGTCTCATAGCCCACCGTTTACTAGACTCCAAAATCGGGGTGACAATCCCTTGCCTTCCAAGATGTGTGAGGAACTATGGGAGGGTGGATGTAACTGGATGGTGAGCTTTGTGGGGCAAAGACCTGCTTTTGTTCACCGTTCTCTCCCCAGCATCTGAGCACCTGCAACAGCGTCTGGCATGCAGTAGTTGTCCAGGAAACGCTGGTTGAGTGAATGAATAAATGAATGAATGACAGTGTGGGGAGCCTAGAGTAGACACCCTAATATTCACTGGGAGGAATGTCCCACGGAGCAGACTGAAATACGGACCTCTGCCTGTTTCCTTCCTCAGCTGCACGTGCAGTTCTCCACAGACTCCAGGGTACAGAATATGTTTGATATCCTCCTGGACGAAAAGAGTGAAGCTGATAGGCTGGAGAAGGTGAGCGCTGGCCTTGTTTAATTAATTTAACACTTCTCTTCCTTTTTAAAGTCCTTACCCATAAGCAGAAATGTTTTATTATTTATTTATTTATTCATTCATTCATTCATTCATTTACTAAAGGCCCGGTGCATGAAATTCTTGGGTCCCTAGGCCTGGCCAGCACCCAGGGCTGATCAATCAGGGCCTTCCTTCTCCCAGCTGCTGGCTGCCAGCTGCTGGCAGGGGCCTTCCTGCATTCCATGTCGCCCCCTGATGGTCAGTGCACGTCATAGCGAGCAGTCGAACTACTGGGGACACAGTTTGAATATTAACTTTTTATTATATAGGATTTACCTGTTTGTTTGTTGTTTGTTTGTTTATGATAATCCTCACCTGAGGATATTTTTCCATTGATTTTTAGAGTTTAAGGGAGAGGGAGAGACACAAGGAGAGAAACATGGATGTGAGAGAGACACATTGATGCGCCCTTGACTGGAATTGAACCCAAGACTCTACAGTCCACGGGCTGACACTCTATCCACTGAGCCAAAGTGGCTAGGGCTACCCAGTTTTATTTGAACATTAGTGCAATCAGAGTTGAATCTATGATTCTGATTCTGCTAAGCATTGTTTATTTTATAAGTGGCTTGGTAATCTTTTTATTTATGTCTTTTATAATTGCAATATATTTCATCAAGTTGGTCTTTATGCAAGTTACTGAGTCTTTCTTTTGAATTATGCTCGTGGGCTATGTGTCCAGGAGTAAGATTATAGGGAGGAAGAATAGAAAGATGTTTTGAAAACCCAGTTCTTAAGCCTTTGGCCCAGGGCCGAGGCCTCTGCAGCCAAACCTTCCTCCAGACCGTCACTTCCTCTTCCCTCTTTCAGGCTGCCAACAACCTCATCGTACTGGGCCGTGAAGAGGCAGGGGCTGAGAGGATCTTCCAGAACAACGGCGTGGCCCTGCTTCTGCAGCTCATGGACACGAAGAGGCCTGAGCTGGTGCTGGCTGCAGTGCGGACCCTGTCGGGCATGTGCAGTGGCCACCGAGCGAGGGTGAGGGCCTGGGTGCGGGCCCGGGTCTGGGAGCTTGGCATGAATGGCTGCCCGGACAAGGACCTGGAAGGGTGACATGAGGGCAGGGTGTGGCTGGCATAAATGGACCCTGATACGAAATCTGAAGTGTCCCCTCCAACTTTGGTTGAACGGTCCCGGATTCAACAGAGACCACTCCTCTGCTTTTTTTCTAATATATTTTACTGATTTTTTACAGAGGGAGAGGGATAGAAAGTTAGAAACATCGATGAGAGAGAAACATCAATCAACTGCCTCCTGCACACTACACTCCCTACTGGGGATGTGCCCGCAACCAAGGTACATGCCCTTGACCAGAATCGAACCTGGGACCCTTCCGTCTGCAGGCCGACACTCTATCCACTGAGCCAAACCGGTTTCGGCCGCTCCTCTGTTTTTCCTCAGAGCTGGAAATGGGTCTATGAGAACATGAGGCTATTGAAAGTCATCTGTGAGGAAGAGCTGAATGCAAAGGCTATGATAGTTTACACTTCTTCATGCTAAATCTTCAAAATCCATTATATAATTTACACTCATAGCACTCATAGCACCTCTCTCTCAACGTGAACGGCCCCAGTACTCGTGCTCGCTGACTCCAGGTGGCCAGTGGCTCTGAACCTCAGGAAAGGGCCATGGCTTGTGTCAAGGGCATTCCCAGGCCACGGGCCAGGAGGCACGGGCTGATTTCCCTCCTGCATGGGGAGGTGACCTCCCACTCCCTAACCTGCACGGCAGCTGGAAGGGAGGGCCCCACGACTGACTGTGGTTTGCTGGGGCCTAGGCCACGGTGCTTCTTCACGCGGTCCGCATAGACCGACTCTGCAGCCTCATGGCGGTGGCCAACGAGGAGATGTCCCTGGCCGTCTGCAACCTGCTCCAGGCCATCATTGACTCCCTGTCTGGGGAGGACAAGCGGGAGCACCAAGGGAAGGAGGAGGCCCTGGTTCTAGGTAGGAGACAGTCTTCAGTGTTGGTTCTGGACGTTGGGAGCAAGGGAGAGTCTGTTGCCACCTCAGACGGGGAATTTCCTGTGCGGACGTTGTCTGGTGTGATTGTCATACTTATTTTCTGGTGATAAAAGTAACAGGTGCAGAGCAGCGTTATGGACAATGACTTAAAGGTAGAAGCAAATCGAGTGTCCATCGACAGATGAGTGGATAAACAACAACAATAACAACAAAAACTATATATATATATATACACACACAGTGGAATATTTACTCAGCTTTAAAAAGGAAGGAAATTGTGATACATGATACAACATGGATGAATCTTGTGGACATTATGCTAAGTGACATAAGCCAGTCTCAAAAAGATAAACTTGGTATGATCCCATATAGATGCAGCTTCTGAAATTGTCATACTCTTAGAAACAGAAAGTAGAATGGCATGGCCAGGGAAGGGGTATGGGAAATGAGCAGTTGTTTAACGGGTACAGAGTTTCAGTTTTGCAAGATGAAAAAGCTTGGGGGATGGATGGTGGTGATGGTTGCACTTCAATGTGAATGTACTTCATGCCATGGAACTCGGTGCTTAAAAACACAATGATGTTTATTTTACATATACTTTACCACAATTTTAAAAAGTAACAGAGGCTCATGGGAGAAATTTGGAAAAATTTAGAAATATGTAAACATGAAAAACAACAACAACCCATCCTGTTAACCTTTTTTTTTCTATCCATCCATATAAATATCTATTTGACAAAATATCTTATATATTTTATATATATATTTTATATATTGATTTACACCCACCTCAGGTCCCAATTTTGCTCTCCGCGGCCTTACAGAGTAAGTCTGTTTGTTATCTCACCCTCGTGACAAACCTCTGTTTGAAAGCGGGCTGCCATGTCCACTTACATTTTTCCTTCTCTAGCCAGATAGCCTCATTCCTTCATCACCTATTTGCATGACACGGTTTGGAAAGCTTCCCCCCTGCCTGCCCGCCTGCCCGCCTTTGGGCTCCAACCTATAGTGAGAACAATGGTCTCCAAGTCTCAGAGGTCAGACAGGGCAAAGCAGGACAAGGCATTTGCCTTCTGAGATTCCCAGTGGGCAGGGAGGACCGGGCACCCCAGACAGAGGCTTGCATTCGGGCGCCCGGCCTGCCGAATCTGTGTGGAGTAAGATGTCTGTAAGGAGCACAGATTTCCTTCCTGGGAAAACATTTTATTAAGTCAGTTCATTAAAAACCACACAAAACATCCCTGGGCCCCTGCCAGTCGTGACCTGGAAGGAAGAACTAGCTGTTCAAGGATGGAATGGGCTGTGATAGAAGTCAGAGCTCAGAATGGCGGGAGGACCCCCAAGTGCTGTCTAGGGAGTTCCCTCCTTTTGGGGGGTTGCGATGGACCATACTATACTCTCCCGGGAAATTCCACCAGCCAGGAAGCAGTAGGTTTGATATGTCCAGAGTCCTTCTAGAAGCCTCTTTCATTCCTGATCCTAAATACTGGAGGCTCCCTGATCCTCTCTCTTTATCCCTGATCTCTCCTCCGCAGACACCAAGAAGGACCTGAAGCAGATCACCAACCACCTGCTCGACATGCTGGTCAGTAAGAAGGTGTCCGGCCAGGGCAGGGACCAGGCCCTGAACCTGCTCAATAAGAACGTCCCCCGGAAAAACCTCTCTGTTCAAGACAACTCACGCACCATCTACGTGGTGGACAATGGTGAGGGGGTGGGTGGGTCTGGGCTCACTCCAGCATTCCCCGTGGATTAAAAGTCTTCAATCCCAATGGAAAAGCCAGGAAAAACCATCAGCATGCTAGGATCCACTCGCGGGCTGGTGGAGGTACAGGTCAAGTCTCTGGATTACGGGCCTGGCCATACCCAGAAAATGTCCAAATACCCCCAAACACATCTGACCTGGGTGAAGTGTCCCAACAAACAGGGGTACGTGTTCAAGGACAAACAGGATTCTACCAACCACAGGGTCATGCTCCCGAAGTCTCACGGTTGGCAAGGCCTTCTGGAAGGGGGAGATGGCATCACCTGGGCATTATATCAAGCCCAGGGAGAATGTTCTAGCACAGTGGTCGGCAAACTCATCAGTCCACAGAGCCAAATATCAACAGGACAGCGATGGAAATTCCTTTGGAGAGACAAAATTTTTTAAATTTAAACTTCTTCTACCGCCACTTTTTCAAAATAGACTGGCCCAGGCCATGGTATTTTGTGGAAGAGCCACACTCAAGGGGCTAAAGAGCCGCAGGTGGCTGCCGCTCTGCTGACTAATGAGTTTGCCAACCATTGTTGTAACAAATAGGAATTTGTTAGCTCGAGGGTGTTATCCTCTCCTTAATTAACGTCTTTTATTGTGGCTGTATAATCTGCTACAATAAATCCTCTCGCACATTGCACATTTTAATGGCATTTACACTAGTCATTGTTCTTAAAGGTTCAAGTTGGCTTTACCAGCTTGGAATTCATTCTTCTTTGATATTGTAGTTCCCTTGTTTGGTTTTCACAGATCTCCGCAAAGTGAACCTTAATGAATTACTCTAGTGCTTAAGCCTCACTCCCAACACGCTGGCCCTAGTTCTGGACTTCTCTGCATATATTACAAAGGCTGAGCGCCAACAGCAGACCTCTTCCCTCTGGTTTATGGTGTAGGATGGGTGGGGAGCCATAGTATCGTTCTAGGCACCAAAATGAATAGCACTTGAGTAAAAATGTGGACTTAAATTCCCGGCGCGCTAGTGAAAAGCTGCAATGTTGAGGTCGTATGTCTTGCAAACTGGGCTGGACAGAGCCCCACAGGGGTCTTACACTTGCCACTGCCATCCGTCCTGCAGGCCTCAGGAAGATCCTGAAGGTGGTGGGGCAGGTTCCAGATCTGCCGAACTGCCTGCCCCTGACCGACAACACCCGCATGCTGGCCTCTATCCTCATCAACAAGCTCTATGACGACCTGCGCTGCGATCCTGAACGCGATCACTTCCGCAAGATCTGTGAGGAGTACATCACGTGAGCTTCCCAGAGGCCTCATGGGTCGGCCTCTGTGTTAGTGATCAATAGCCATGTAACAAACTACCCCTAAACGTAGCAGCTTAAAACAGTAATAGTCAACCATTTCTTATAAAAAGACAGCCATTTGGGAATGGCTCGCTGGGTGATTCTGGCTTTGGGTTCTCTTGGCCTGGGCTGCAGTCATCTGAAGGCTTGACCGAGGCTGGAAGATCTGCTTCCAAGATGGTGCACTCACCTGGCTGGCACCCTGGTGCTGGCTGTTGATGAGAGGTCTCTATTCTTCTCTGGGTGAACATCTTCCTACATGTCCATCCCCGTCTCAGAGTGTGCTTCTTGGGGAACACACCCCCTGACACATCTGTTATGTCCTCTACCCTCATCGTAAGTCTGCATAGTAGTATTACTACCCTTAGTTTCCAGATCAAGGAGCTGAGACTCAGAGAGGTTCAGTGGATTACCCAAGGTCACCTAGCATATGCGTGGTGAATCCAGGATGCACATCCAACCGTGTCTGCCCCCCAAAATCTCACACTTTCTACCACCCTCGCCTTCTTTTTTAGGGCCAAGTTTGACCCCCAGAACATGGACAAGAATGTGATTGCCATCCAGACGGTGTCGGGAGTCCTGCAGGGCCCCTTCGACCTGGGCAACCAGCTGCTGGGGCTGAAAGGTGTGATGGAGATGATGGTGGCGCTGTGTGGCTCGGATCGAGAGGTAGACCAGCTGGTGGCCGTGGAGGCCCTCATCCATGCCTCTACCAAGCTCAGCCGCGCCACCTTCATCATCACCAACGGCGTGTCACTGCTCAAGCAGATCTACAAGACCACCAAGAACGAGAAGATCAAGATCCGCACCCTGGTGGTAAGTGGGCTCGGTGCCCGACACCACGCCAGGCACCAGGGACATCAGGATGGAGGAGGTCACCGTCTGAGGGCATCATGGGGCCCCGCAGAGCAGTGTGATATGGAGGAGGCTGTGAGAACATAGGTTCAGAACGGCGGACCCACATTTAACCTCCGACACCTCTGTGCTTTCTTTTTCTTTTTTTCCTTTTTTTATCTCCCCACTCCCTCCTTCCTCTCTAGTTATCACTCTACTGTTGTTGATCTAAGAGTTGTGGATTTTATTTTATTTTTTTGGCATTAGAAATTATGGGGGATTTATTTTCCTTCTTTATTTTTTCTGTAGAGTTCAAGTTTTAATAATATGTGCATATGATTTTTATAATCAGGAAAAATAATTTAAAATAACTTGTGAAACTCCCATAAGTCACATTGTGATTTTCCTGAAGTCACCCACAGGACCACAGAGTGTTACCTGCAAACACACAAGGCGGTGTGACCAAATGATTTTTTTCTTAATCCCTTCATCTTTTTCACCTCCTCCATGCTTCTGAAGGGCACAAACACCGATGAGTTTTATCCAGCAAATATTTTCAGAGCTAACTCCGGAAAGTCAGTATTTGATTAATCACTTCCTATATGAAACAGTCAAACCTGCTTTATTTCTTCCATCTTCATTTTACAGAAGTTATTTTCATTGACCTTTCCTCGTGAACAATTATAGTGAGGATTTGTGTCATTTATCTTCTTTTGTTTGTATCAATTTAGAAAAGACGAATCTGCTTCTGTCATTGTGAGTTTTCTCTTAGAGAAGAATTTTTTTTTTCTAAAATAAATCCAAATTTCCTGAGCAAAATTCTGCACATCTGAACTTGTTACCCATAAGATAGGATTTCTCTGCCGGTTTCTGTGCTCTGACAAATCTCACCACTGCAGTCTCAGATAGGATTAGTATTACCTTGTGCTGATTTTTCCAAATGGCATTCAAAACATCTGTGGGGTCAAATGATGGAGGAAAAGGGTTAGGGTAAAAACCTCCAGCTTGCCTGGCCGGGGTAGCTCAGTGGCTGAGCATTGACCCATGAACCAGGAGAGCAGGGTTCGATTCCTGGTCAGGGCACATGCCCGGGTTGTGAGCTTGATTCCCAGTAGGCACCCAACCAATGATTTTCTTTTATCATTGATGTTTCTCTCCTTCTCCCTTCCTCTCCCTAAAATCAATCATATATATATATATATATATATATATATATATATATCCAGCTTTTCAGCACCTTCCTTCACCTGGATGCCTCAAGGAAGGCATCTCAGAAGAGGTGACACCTGAGCTGAGTTTTGTAGTACGAATAGAGGTTTATCCGGGCAAAGAGAAAGGGGCAAAGTGTCCCAGCCACAGGGACCTGTTTGAACAGGGCACTGTCCCCACACTTTGGTGCCTCTGGTCCTCCAGATGTCCCCCATCTCCCCTCCTCCGCAGGGACTCTGTAAGCTCGGCTCTGCAGGTGGCACAGACTACGGCCTCAGACAGTTTGCCGAAGGGTCCACGGAGAAGCTGGCCAAACAGTGTCGCAAGTAAGGGGGTCCTATTTTCCCCAGGCTGGCCCTCTCCTCCCCCGGGGGCGGGGTGCCCTAGTGTCCACCAGATTGGGAAAGGCCCCCACCTGCTACCCACTGCCCTGCAGCGGCTTCACCGCCCTCACACGAGCCCCGGCGTCTCTCCCTCCCGGTCCCAGGTGGCTGTGCAATGCGTCCATAGACACGCGGACCCGGCGCTGGGCCGTGGAGGGGATGGCCTACCTGACGCTGGATGCTGACGTGAAGGATGACTTTGTCCAGGACATCCCTGCCCTGCAGGCCATGTTTGAGATGGCCAAGGCAAGTGGAGCCCTGGCCTCTGGCCCCGGAGAGACCCATCAGATCCCGCTCACAGGGCCTCCCGCTGTGTCCTCAGCCTGGCTGTCCCCTCTAGTCTCTGGTAACCTGGACCAGTCCTTTGCCTCTTTCTCATCTTCGTTTTACCTGACTATAAAATGGCTCACAGCTCTCTCCATGCCTTCCCGGCAGTGGGAGGATGAATAAGAGGGTGGTGTTTTGCCAAAACCGGTTTGGCTCAGTGGATAGAGCATTGGCCTGCGGACTGAAGGGTCCCAGGTTTGATTCCAGTCAAGGGCATGTACATTAGTTGTGGGCACATCCCCAGTGGGGGGTGTGCTGGAGGCAGCTGGTCGATGTTTCTCTCTCATTGACGTTTCTAACTCTCTATCCCTCTCCCTTCCTCTCTGTAAAAAATCAATAAAATATATTAAGAGAGAGAGAGAGAGACAGAGAGAGAGAGAGAGAGAGAGAGAGAGAGAGAGAGAGAATGGTATTTGTCCCCCTGGGATCCTCAGGAAGCGAGGTCCGAAGGACCAAGAGCAGTACCTAGCCTCTTCTGGGTCCTCTCTCCCCTCCCGAGCTCCTCTCAGACTCCGTTCCTCCACCTTTTCACCGCTAAAGGGGGAAATGTGGGAGAGTCTGTACCAGGGTGTACCCCGCCCATCCCATCCCCACGCAGCCCAGGGGAGGTAGCCCCACTATGTGAACGTGTGTTTTGGCCGGGACTTTTCAAGGAGGCACAAAGCCAGGGGTGTACTCAGAGGACTTCCTCCCATGCTTCCGGGGTGCTGCTGAGGGTGCCCCTGTGCCAGCGGAGCCAGCACCTTCCCTCTGTGCCGCTGGCACTTCTCCGAGCTGAACTGCTCCGGCCACACACTCCATCCGCCCAAACCAACCTGTGGACCGTGCAGGGGAGCCTTCCTGGGAGCAGAAGTTTGTTCTGAAGTGTTCTCTCTGCCTTTTCCCGCCTCCCCGCGCCCCGGTGCCTCCAGACCTCTGACAAGACCATCCTGTACTCGGTGGCCACCATCCTGGTGAACTGCACCAACAGCTACGACGTCAAGGAGGTCATCCCCGAGCTCGTCCAGCTCGCCAAGTTCTCCAAGCAGCACGTGCCCGAGGAGCACCCCAAGGTGGGGGCGGGGACGGCGCAGGAGGGGGTCTGTGCGGCCCACCCGTCCTCCAGGGCGGTGGAAAGGGAAGAGAGCCGGGTCTGGGTGTTGCTTGGGTGTGTTTGGGAGAATTTGGCACAAGGTAAACCGGAGAGGATCATGGTACATGTCTCCCACTAGGTGGCGCTCGTGTCCTTTCTTAGTTTTGATGTTCTGTCTTGGCGAGGTGGGAGCGGTTTGATTTGGGGGAGGTTAGGAACGCAATCTGTAAGCCTGAGAAAAAACGATGAACGTTTTGCCATGTATGTTGTTGATTTGATGGACATCAGACGGTTGCATTTTATGTTCCCAACACACACAAAATTTATTTTCCGGGCTATCTGGATTTAGGGATATGGGTGCTAAGTAGGAAAAAGGAGAGGAGAGACGTGGATCAGCAGTGGCCAAGATGTCACAAATTCCCTTGAGGCCCTCTTCCCCCCCCCCCCCCCCCCCATGATTCCCTGCACACAATGGTATACTTTGCTTGTGGTTTGTATATGAATACATATGCTTCCTATTCCCACCAAAAAAAAAAGTAGACTTTTTAAATGATCAAAGTAATAAAATTGTTACAACACAAATAAAAGGGTGGAGAGCAGACAAAAGAAATTAAGAATTTACAATGTTTACAATGAAACCCCCCCCCCCCCCCCCCCCCCCCCGCAACCCTTGCCATTTGGGTTACTTTACCTACCAGAGGCTTTGTTGTTTTTTTCTATGCACCTTTCCCTCCCCCCCCCCTTTTCCCCTACCCCTCTCCCTTCCTCTCTGTAAAAATTCAATAAGATATATTTTTTAAAAATAAAAAAATAAAGTTCCTGATGATGACATTGGGCTTGCCCAGATAACTTAGGACTATGTCCCCAGCTCAAGATCCATAATTTAACCATATCTGCAAAGTCCCTTGTGCCGTGTAAGGTAACTATTCATGGGTTCTGGGGATTAGGACATGGACACCTGAAGGACCCATTATTGAAAGTACTCCAAGAAGCTGAAACTGGTTTGGCTCAGTGGATAGAGCATTGGCCTGCGGACTGAAAGGTCCCGGGTTCGATTCTGGTCAAGGGCATGTACCTTGGTTGCGGGCCCATCCCCAGTAGGGGGTGTGCAAGAGGCAGCTGATCGATGATTCTCTCTCATCGATGTTTCTAACTCTCTATTCCTCTCTCATCCTCTCTGTAAAAAATCAATAAAACATATATATATATATATATATATATATATATATATATATATTTAAAAATCCTCTATATTAAAAAAAAAAAAAGAAAGAAAGAAAAAGAAAGTACTCCAAGAAATCAGAAATGTGCCATCCTCGTACCAATATGGACTGGCCTGGTGCCCGGGCCCCTTGCCCATTGCCCCCTTTGCCTCCCCAGGACAAGAAGGACTTCGTGGACATGCGGGTGAAGCGGCTCCTGAAGGCTGGTGTCATCTCGGCGCTGGCCTGCATGGTGAAGGCAGACAGCGCCATCCTCACCGACCAGACCAAGGAGCTGCTGGCCAGGTGTGGCTGCAGGGGGCCGGGGCTGGGCTCTGGCTGGGCAGGGAAATAGAAATGGCCCGGAGTCAATAAGGGAATGAGCCATTTGGGGGGCGGGGGGGCTGGAGAGCAGCCTAAAGGGGTTCGGCATGGAAAGTGACATGGCGGGCAGGTCCTCCCAAGTGCAAGTTTGCATCAGGAGGAAAGAGGTCACTGTCCAGTTGCCTGGTTCCCCGGTTTTGCGTGGGACCTGCTAGTCCAGAGATGGAAGGCACCGTATCTGTGCGACCTGGCGGGCAGGCAGCCAGGCTCACGGGACAGTCCAAGGCAGCGGGTGCCATGAGGGAGAAGGCAGAGTGTTGGTTGGAGCCCAGCAGTGGCACCCCTCCAGCCAGCCTGGAAAGGTGGGCAGCCAGGAAGGCTTCCTGGAGGATGTGACAACTCAAAGGAGCCACTCCACTGCCGGGAGGGAAGGGCGTCAGGTGGGTGGAACAGCATACACGAAGGCACCAAGGACGGAGGAAGACTGAGTGCATTTGGGGTTTTCCTGCTCTGTGTCTGGAGCACAGAGTGCAGAGGAGCGAGCAGTGCTAGGTAAGACCGGAGAGGGAGGGCCGAAACCGGTTTGGCTCAGTGGTAGAGCATCGATCTGTGGACTGAAAGGTCCCAGGTTCGATTCCGGTCAAGGGCATGTACCTTGGTTAACCCCGGTAGGGGGTGTGCAAGAGGCAGCTGGTCGATGTTTATCTCTCATCGACGTTTCTAGCTCTCTATTTCTCTCCCTTCCTCTCTGTAAAAAATAAATAAAATATATTTAAAAAAAAAAAAAAAAAGACCAGAGAGGGAGGGAGGCAAGGGCCAGGTCCCAGGGGTCCCGGTGTTTCTCCTGGGGAGCAGGCAGCAAGGAGCCATTGGTTCTCTCCCTGAACAAGGATGAGGGGGCCCTTTGCAGCCGCACTTCCTCCATAGCCTCTTAAGTTCTTTAAAAATATATTTTATTGATTTTTTACAGAGCGGAAGGGAGAGGGATAGAGAGCTAGAAACATCGATGAGAGAGAAACATCGACCAGCTGCCTCCTGCACACTCCCCACTGGGGATGTGCCCGCAACCAAGGTACATGCCCTTGACCGGAATCGAACCTGGGACCCTTCAGTCCTCAGGCCGACGCTCCATCCACTGAGCCACACCGTTAGGGGGTTAGGGCGCCACTCATGTTCTGGGCAGCACTTCCCAAGGGCACCGCACACCGGCAGCACTTTCCAGGGCTTCTCTGGCTCTGGCCGGCTGGCCTGCTGATGCCCAGGAGGGGTGGCTGGCACATTAAATGCCCTCGATCCTTACTCCACAGGGTGTTCCTGGCCCTGTGTGACAACTCGAAGGACCGAGGCACCATTGTGGCTCAAGGTGGTGGCAAGGTAATTGGGTGGGATAAGGTTCTCAGCATCCTAAAAGGTACTCTACCGGGGAGGAGCGTGTGTGTGTGTGTGTGTGTGTGTGTGTGTGTGTGTATGCACATCCATGATTACTGTATGCCTGACTCAAGAATAAATGTACCCTCTGTCCCCACCCGACCCCCTGGAATATGGTCCTTCTGGAAACTGTGCTGTCTGTTCTCATGGCCCCAACCCCGTTTCTGTGGATTCTGGGACGGGTCATGGGACTTCCTGTGGAATCCCATCTGTTCTCCCGGCGACGGGGAGGAAGCCTGGAGCAGGTCCCATGGCTGTGCCCGCTGCTACGGAAGACTCATCATGGAGTCCTTGTTCGTCCCCATGTCCGCTGCTGCACAACCTGGGGCAAACGACTCAATCTCCCTGAGCCCCAGTTTCCTCGTCTGTAAAACAGGGTGGGGAGGCACACACTTTGCAGAATGTCACAGGGTGTCTGTGACCCAGGAGTGAGCATGCCCTCTCTTGCAGGCCCTGATTCCCCTGGCCTTGGAGGGCACGGACGTGGGCAAGGTGAAGGCAGCCCACGCCCTTGCGAAGATCGCTGCTGTCTCCAACCCGGACATGGCCTTCCCCGGGGAGCGGGTGGGTGTTTGGAGGGTGAGGTGGGATGGGGCAGTGGGAGGCGTCTCCTCTATTCCTAGGGGCCTTTCTCCTTGTCACCCTGCTCCTGGCTTGGGAGGGCCATGGTGGTGTCACAGAGAGGGCAATGACTTGGAGGCGCCCGGCGTCCAGGCCTAGCTCCGGGGCTGGCCTCTGGGGAGCTCCTCTCGTCTGCAAAGTAAAGGGAAGGGCCCTGCTTCTCAGGATCAGCATTAAGGTCCAACCAGACCCCTGGGTGGACAAGTGCTTTGGAAATTCTAAAGCTGGACACCTGTAAAAGTCAGGGGCTGGCGGGAGGGGGGGGGTGTCACAGCCTCCTGTCCCCCGCTTCCCCCTCCCCCACAGGTGTACGAGGTGGTGCGGCCCCTGGTGAGACTCCTGGACACACAGAGGGACGGGCTGCAGAACTACGAGGCCCTCCTCGGCCTCACCAACCTGTCCGGGCGGAGCGACAAACTGCGGTGAGCCGGGTGTGGAGGGAGCAGGCGTGAAGACAGGGGTCCCATGGAGTGTCCGGTTGAGTTGCACATATGTATACCACGTGCGAAAACTGCGCTCCTCCAAGGGCTGGGTCAGAGGCAGCGGAAGAAAGATGAGCGCTGGCCGGGTGGCTCCATTGGTCGGAGGGTCACACCAAACGGTTGCGGTCCTATCCCCGGTCTGGGCTCATGTTGCAGTGATGTTTACACCCTCGAACCCATCACTGCGGCCAGGATGCTGAGCCACATCAACTAGTCCATGCCCACTGGTGCCCCTCCTGGCGCTGGGGGCAGGATCTGTGTCACAGGAGCCCTGCCGGCCGGGGATGTGGAAGGGGTACCACTGGGATGGGGAAAGGGCACCGAGGTGGCCCAGAATCCCACAAGTTCACGACGGAGAACTCAGTGGCCTCCCTTGCTCCACTCCTCCCGCCCCAGGCAGAAGATCTTCAAGGAGAAGGCCTTGCCGGACATCGAGAACTACATGTTTGAGAACCACGACCAGCTGCGGCAGGCGGCCACCGAGTGCATGTGCAACATGGTGCTGAACAAGGAGGTGCGGGGGCTCGCCGGGGACGGGCAGCGATGGCGGCCTGGGGAGTCAGGCCATGGGCCAGGCCGGGCGTGACTGGGGTTGTTACAATGGTACTGAGGCAGCATTGAATATGTATGGAGGAAATGTGAAAATAGTTACAATCTTAGAATATTGTACACGTTAACATGAATGAAATATTGCTGTTTCCATAGAAACTACATTTCCCTCTATCTGTGCTCTTCCCAGAATAATCGCAGGGTTTATAATAGTAAAAATGAATCCAGAACACGTCAATGACCTTATGGTCCAGTAATGGGATAAATTGTAACCATGTGGTGAACACATGTCTTTTCCATCCTGCTAGAGTATTTAAAAAAATATATTTTTATTGATTTCAGAGAGGAAGGGAGAGATATATAGAAACATCAATGATGAGAATCATTGACCATCTGCCTCCTGCCCATCCCCTACTGGGGATCAAGCCCATAACCCGGGCATGTGCCCTTGACTGGAATCAAACCCGGGACCCTTCAGTCCGCAGGCTGGCGCTCTAGCCACTGAGCCAAACCGGTTTCGGCAACATCTACCCTTGAGTCTGTGAGCCTCTTTCCCTGGGTGGATAGCTGAATGCAAACAGAGGCTGTGGAGCACGCTCTCTGGGGAGTCCTTTACTTTGTCTAACCTTTTAGCTGGAGGAGATGGTAGCCCCTTCACCCAGCCAATCAGGGAAGACTTCCAGGCGGCGGCTGTGGGCGAGCTGCTCAGAGGAAAGCGCCCAGAGACCCTGGGCAAGGGAATGCGGCTGCAGCTGCACCTTTCCCTCCCCAGGCTGGGCAGGGGCGGGGCACTTTTTCCTGAGCCACGTACCTCCCTCCTGCAGGTCCAGGAGAGGTTCCTGGCCGATGGCAATGACCGGCTGAAGCTGGTGGTCCTGCTCTGCGGGGAGGATGACGACAAGTTGCAGAATGCGGCCGCAGGGGCCCTGGCCATGCTGACAGCCGCGCACAAGAAACTGTGCCTCAAGATGACCCAAGTGGTGAGAGCACGCCTGGAGGCCAGCGAGGGCATGGGCTCTAGGGAATCTCTCCTCATCCCAACCACATTGCCCTGGGGGATCCTCTGGGGGGGAAAGCTTGTCTCCATGGTAACCACCTCCAGCCCCCCTGCTCCTACCACGGAAGGGGCTTCAGCATTTGTTCCTTGAGGCAAGCTTCTCAACACGATAGGGCAGTGTTTCCCAAAGTGTGGTATGCGTACCCCTAAGGGGTACGGGAAGAGTTTGGTGGGGGTACGTGTTGCACCGGAGTTTGGTGGGGACATGCACTGCACTGTGCTTAGCTGCACCTAATTCTACGTTCTCATGAGTACGAAGGGTACTCAGCGTTGCAAAAATTATAGAAGGGTTACACATATGTCAAACGTTTGGGAAATAGTGCTGTAGGGTGTGCAAGAGTCACCTGGAGGGCTGGTCAAAGTACTTTCCCCAGATATTCCGATTCGGAACCAGGGTGGGGTGCGTCCAGCCTGGACACCACATTGAAATTGTGGCCCTAAGCAGCCTCTGCTGAAGTACCTGCCACACAACTCCTCCGGACACTCCTCTGCAGGGCCCCAGGCATTGCTCTGTTTCTGTCTATCAAGTCACTCCTTCCTCCCCCAAGCCCCGCAGTGGGTGTAATGATGATGATGATCCCTATTTTACCGATGAGGAGACTGAGTGCAGAAAAGTAGCTCAAGGCCACACAGCTAGTCAGTCGGGAAGGAAGTGGAATTCCATGGGCTTGCTGACCCTCTCCTGGCCACGTCTCCCTTCTTCCCGAGGTGCTCAGAAATACTGGCTGCATTCCTGTCCCCACCATGGCGTCCTGATGACCGCTCGAAGCCGGCCAGACCCATCTTTTGTACAACCCTGGGGCCATGTTGGATGCTGGGCCTCTCTCAGTCTCACACCTGCTGGGGTATATCCTGGGAAGCCAGGCAATAGATTTTCCTGCTGGGATTCTATCTCGTCAGGATTATCGCCCTTCCTTTCACCCCCAGCGGCTCATTCCAGAAACTGATGAACCCTGGGCCCATTATCAGTCAGTCCACCAGCATCAAATCATTTCCTGAACCCTACCACAGCTACTGGACTTCACCTTACTCTCTTTGTGGTAGGAGACTCAGTGTAGAGTTTCACTTCCTTTCTTTGTGATCGGAGACTCAATGCAAAAGTCTACCCAGAAGCTCGAAAGTCAAGAATTTGCCTTTTCTTCCCCCTGTCCTCTCCCCATCTGAGAGCAGTGCATGTCGGAAGGTTTTTCTGCTCACTAATGGAGGGTTGGTAACAGGAAGCACAGAGGAAGTCTTTGGGTTAGTGCCTACAATCATCCTTCCTGTCCACTTTTATTTGTTGGGCTCTCACTGAGCTCTAGCTCCCATGCTAAGCTCTTTCCACGATCATCTCCTGAGGCTGGCAGAGGTTAGATAACTTAGCCCAGGTCATACCATTGGTAAGTGGCTGAGCTGGGACCTGAACACTGGTCTTTTTGACTCCAAGACCCATGCTGATAACTATTCTACTCTGCTCCCCACGTATGTCTGTTGAATGATGAAGAGCCAAACCTCCTAGTTTTATTCTCAGCCCCAACTCTGTCTCCTGGGGTGACCGGAGGATCTGGAGTCCTGTCTTACCGTGCATAATGGTTGGGATGCTTCACACCTGAGAATGGAAGAGAGGGAGAGAGAGAGAGACAGAGAGACAGAGAGAGATGGAGAGGGGGGGGAGGGATGGAGGAGAAGATACACTCCAATTCCTGTGTTGATCCAGTTGAAGTCAGGCTGGTGGAGTGCATACCTAGAGCTCATGTCTCCAGGGGCACCTGGGTTAGCAGAAACATGCCTTGACCATGTGCCCAGCGTTAGAATCCTCCTCTTTGAGACCCTCCATCCTCATTCTGCTCAGGCATGCAGTGAACCTGTCCCTCTGCTTGTTCAGATGCTTAAAAAATAAATAGATGTGTGGATATTTATTTTCCACTATTTCCCGATGTGCGACCATAGATGGCTAAATTACTTTCCCTCCCTGGACCTCAATCCCTCCACTTATAAAATGAAAGGGATTGGATTATTTCAAGTTCCTATTAGTTCTCCAATTCCTGCTCGGGTTCTGGTAAGATAGGCATATTCTGAGTCCCAAACACACATAACCAGAGTCCCCGCTCCCTCGCCCTTTCAGAGTGCAGAATCTGGGCCTGGCCAATGCCTTCTGTTTATCTTGTCCAAAAATCTCCTCTCTCTCAGTCCACCCACGGATTCCTCCAATCCTTCCTTATCCATTTTCCCCCTCCAGACAACCCAGTGGTTGGAGATCCTACAACGGCTTTGCCTGCATGACCAGCTGTCTGTCCAACACCGGGGCCTGGTCATCGCCTACAACCTGCTGCAGGCTGATGCCGAACTGGCCAAGAAGCTGGTGGAGAGTGAGCTGCTGGAGATCCTGACTGTGGTGGGCAAACAGGAACCGGACGAAAAGAGGGCAGCGGTGATTCAGACAGCCCGGGAATGTCTCATCAAGTGCATGGATTATGGCTTCATTAAACCAGTGTCTTAGACAGGAGCCCACCAGGGGTGCTGGGGCTGATCCTCTATTGTGCAGAGTCCTGAGCTGGGAACTCTTGGAATGTCAGTTCATCTAGGGATAGTGGTAGTGACAATGAAGTCTCCATGTTAAAAAAAAAAAAAAATTTTTGATTGTTCCCTGAATTGTAAATCTCCTCCTTCTCCCAAAGTGTGTCTGTTCCATTGGCTCTCTTGCCCCCTGTCTCCCTCTATCTGTCATGTTATAGAACACTTGCCATGTTCCTAGGAAATACCAACTAACCTCTGAGCCTTTGGTGGGGGTAAGTGTGTGTGTGTGTGGGGGGCCATGGAGGTATTAGGGAAGACAGAGACTGGTAAGTTGTTTCTGAAATGTATGTGAAAATAAAAGTAAAAAATAGTGATGAGTGTCTTTTTTAAAAACATATTTTTATTGATTTCAGAGAGAAAGGGAGAGGAAGAGTTAGAAACATCAGCCGAAACCAGTTTGGCTCAATGGATAGAGTGTCGGCTTGGGGACTGGAGGACCCGGGTTGGATTCCGGTTAAGGGCATGTGCCTTGGTTGAGGGCATATCCCCAGTAGGGGATGTGCAAGAGGCAGCTGGTCGATGACTCTCTCTCACCGATGTTTCTAACTCTCTATCTCTCTCCCTTCCTCTCTGTACAAAATCAATAAAATATATTTTTTTAAAAAAGTTAGAAACATCAATGACGAGAGAGAATTCTTGATCAGCTGCCTCCTGCACGCCCCTACGGGGGATAGAGCCCATAATTGGGGCATGTAGCCTGACCAGGAATCAAACCCACAACCTTTCAGTACACAAGATGGTGCCCAACCAACTGAGCTATACGGCCAGGGCTTATGGTTATTCTTATTTTGCTCTTCCTAATGGAGTCAAGTAGTTCTAGTTCTTTTTATTTTTATTTTTAACTCTCAAATCTTCCTCTCTATCTACCACTATGCACATCCTGCCAATATGATTGTACCATTTTGGGTTAGAACAATATTCCATGTTTATCTTGTTATGACTCTCTAATCACAGCTGTGTTAGATCATACATTGTGAGTACATCTCATTTCCTGTACACTTTTCTGCTTGATTCAGGATTTATAATCTTCTGACTTTATGCTTGTTTAGTTTTCTATCTATCTAACACTAACTTCCAAATTCTCTGCCTCAGGCAAGAAAACTTGTTGTTAATTATACACATTACCGTCAGCAATAATTTTGTATTTTCTGGATATATTCCCCTTAACCCTCTTCCTTTGGATCCTGACTTGTAGGGTCTGTAGGCCCACTCCTCAGCTGTCCTTCTGGGCTCCCCCTTTCCATATAGCCAGGGCTTAACTTTAAAGGATCTTCTTTTTTTTTAAAATATATTTTATTGATTTTGTACAGAGAGGAATTGAGAGGGACAGAGAGTTAGAAACGTCGATAAGAGAGAAACATCGACCAGCTGCCTCCTGCACCCACCCCCCACTGGGGATGTGCCCATAACCAAGGTACATGCCCTTGACCGGAATTGAACCCAGGACCCTTCAGTCTGCAGGCCGACGCTCTATCCACTGAGCCAAACCGGTTCCGGCCAGGGTTTAACTTTAAAAATATATATTTATTGATGGATTTTGAGTGAGAGAGAGGAAAACATCCATTTATTGTTCCACTTATTCATGCATTCATTGGTTGATTAATTTTGATTTCAGAGAGGAAGAGAAAGAGAGAAACATCAATGAAGAGAGAATCATTGATCAGCTGCCTCCTGCAGGCCCCAGACTGGGGATCGAGCCATGACCCAGCCATGTGCCCTGACCGGGAATTGAACTATGACTTCCTGGTTCATAGGTCGATGCTCAAACACTGAGCCACACCAGCCAGGCCATTGGTTGATTCTTGTATGTGCCCTGACTGGGGATCAAACGCACAACCTTGGCGTATCAGACAACACTTTGACCAACTGACCTACCCAGTCAGGCCTTAGATCCAGTTTCTCCCCCTCCTTCCCGGGGTTAATTGCTGTCTCCTGCAGGAGTATAGTTTGGCAATAGGACCTAGGCAATGCTTGGGGCACAAACGTTTCCCTGATTCACGGTAAATATAATGTGGAGTTTTATAATGAACCGTTATGAGGGTTGGTGTAGTTTTCCTCTTTTAAGAGGCTAAATGCTGGCAGTGGCAGAGCTGTTTGTCTCTCTCACAGATGCTTTTCAGCCCTGACGAGTGATTTCAAAGATATTATGCCTCTTTTGCCAGTTCTGCCATCTACCCAGGGATAAGAAAATTCCAAAGCCCTTCAGTCTGGTTGTTCCTAACAAGCAGCCATTGCTTTTCCTTCTCGGGGGTTTGTAAGCCCCTCACCACAGAGACGCCCCCCTCCTGTGGCTGCGCCAGCACCTGCAGATGCAGGTTTCTCTCTTGGTGTTCTCATCTCTACTGCCCTTGGAAGCCCTGAGCCCTTCTTCACAGACAACGAGTCTGCATTTTTGTGGTTTTGTTTCTCCCTCTCACGCTTGCGCAATGTGTGAAAAAGAAACCAGAGATAACTCTGCTGTGATATTTTACATTTTCCTCTGCTATAGACAGGAACAATAAATATTTTTAAATGCACTATTATTTAATGCCTGCTCTGAAAAAAAAATTTTTTTTTTAAAGAAATAAAGGCCAGATGCATACAGTCTTTGGGTGGTAAATCTATGTTTCACTCCCTTTAAAAAAATTTCCCCAGTATTTCAAAAAATTGAAATAGTAACAGCATAGGGTTACCAATAAAAGAAAACACAAGAAAAGAAAAAGTAGGTAAACCAGGCGACTGATCCCGCACTTCCAGCCCCAAACCAGGCTGGAGGCGTTGGGGGGGAGAGACCTGCGGTCCGCGGGCAGCTGGGGCTTCCGGGCAGGGAGGGGATTGCACCGGAAAATCCCGCCCTGGAGGGGGCGAGTACCGCCCCCCACTAATGCGAAACCAATAAATACACCCCGCAGGTACCCCTCCAAAGATCGCCCAGGAGGCTGAACTTGCAGAAGTGGGGCTCCGGGTCTACAGAGCGAACCTCCCGGGCTGTCCTCTGCCTCCTGTGTCCGCCCCGTGAAGTCTCCCCGATCTCAGGTGATTTGAGGACTTGGCCCTGCAGGGTCAAGGCCAAGGCTCTGGATTTGGGGCGCCCCATCGCTTTCTCCGGAGGGAGGCGCGCTGCAGAGGAGGAACCTTGACGGTAAGGAGTCTCCGCGCCCCTTGGCGCAGGTCCCCCCAAAACTCGGTTCCCCTCCCCAGGTTCGCGCAGGTGCGGACCCTGCGGTGGGGTGAAGGCGGGGTGCAGCCCTGGGCCTGGGGCCCATCCCGGGAGCCCCTCTCCGGCCGGGAGCCTGGGTTTATGGGCCCTGGCAGTGTTTCCCAAAGTGTGGGGTACGGGAAGAGTTTGGTGGGGGTACGCGTTGCACTGAGTTGGGTGGGGATATGCACTGCACCGTGCTTAGCTGCGCCTAATTCTACGTTCTCATGCGGGCGAGGGGCACTCAGCCTTACGGAAATTATAGAAAGGGTACACATATGTCAAAAGTTTGGAAAACACTAAGGTGAGCAGACGTCCCGCTTTGGGCGGGACAGTCCCGATTCTTAACAATTTGTTCCGCGTCCGTTTTAAAAAAGTCCCGGTTTTTGGAAAGAATGCAGACAAGCTAGAGAACGGCGGGAGAACGGGAAGGGAATATACGGTTTTTCGGCGTCTATGTGGCTGTTTAGCCAGGATATGAGTGTTATGTTACTTTTGTTAATGTTATAATGTTAAACTTTAATAATAACAAATCATTGCGGAGAACTGATTATCGAGAACTGCTTATCCAAGTTCCCATGGTTGATCAGCTGTTAGGATTGTGGAATACGCGCTGTCCTTACCAGGAACCAAATGCTGCGACTGAACGCGGGTTTTTGTTTTTTTTCCCCCCCTACGGTAAATAAAGTGTGGACATCAGAAAAATCACAATTAAGTGAGGCTTTGAAAGCCATTTTGTGTGTGAAATATAATTTAACAAATGCTTGTGAAAAATGCCATGACCTTTTAAACAACGACAGCAATCTACTAAAAAAAAAAAAAAATCACTCCAATGAGAAATATGCCAAAGAATAAAATAATACTATCCATAATTTTAAAAATTATGTATAGATTTGTAAATCTTTTGTAAAAATTGATTTGAGAGACGGAGAGGAAAGAGAGACGTTGATTTGTTGTTCCCCTCAGTTCTGCTTTCACTGATTGATTCTCCTCCCACCACTCATCCCCATTGGCGGGTTCTCGTGTGTGCCCTGATTGGGGTGGGGGGATGGAACCCGAAACCTTGGGGTAAAAAGAAGCTCTAACCAAGCGGCTCTGGTCCGCTTTTGCACATGACTGTCTAGGAGCCAGAAAGGAGTCCTCGGGACCGGTGTGTAGGGAGAGGATGCTGGACGGCGGGACCTCTGCTTGGCTCCTGCGGTTCTTCTGCACCCGTCCTGATCTCAGAGCCAAGTTCTAGGAGGAAATGGGTGCGGTGGCTAAGAAGAAAGAGGTGAGGCTTTGCTTGCCCTGGTGGGGAAAGAGAAACTAATCCTATCACAGATACACTCCTAGCAGAGTACGTGGAAGCGTGGAACAGAATTTGAAATCTCGGAGGGAAGGCAGGGGAGAGTGGGTGGGTGGAGGACTTTGTATGCATATATGCATGGCCCATGGACACAGACAGTGGGGCGGGAGGGGGCGCAGGAGAGGGCTGGAGGAGGTTAACGGGGGACGGAGGGGGGGGATAAAGTAAAAAATTCTTCAACAATAAGGAATTATTTTAACACACACACACAAAAGCCAACAACAAAAAAACAGCCTTCCCGAGCCTTCCCCTTTTTAAACTAGAAAGCGTTCCTTTGCCACCACAAGGGACCATGGCTCTTTCCCTAAACACAGTCAGTGAGATGAATTAATACCCTCTGCATGGTCTCCTTTGGGCAGTCTCCATGTCTTTCCACAGGGTTTAGGCTTTACATGTTGGTCTAAGACATCCTTGAGCACTTTTGTAAACGGTGTGAACTGCGAATTGAAGTTCATTTCTTTTGTAGGTGGGTATCCAACTGTTCTAGTGCTACTTGTTGAAAACATTATATTTTCCCCACTTTGCATCTTCGTTGTGTGTATATATATATATATATTGCCATATTTTATTTCATGGACAAATTTTTTCATCTTTATACCAATTCTATACTACCTTGGTCACTGTAATTCTATAAAAAGACTTGAAATCAGTGAATGCCAGTACTCTAATTTTAAGAGAGATGTAAGTTTAAAAAGTATATATTTATAAATGAGGCGTGCAGCCTGCCAGCCTGCGAGTTTGACATGATTATTCTACATCCTCCCCAACTCTTGTTTTTTTTTTGTTTGTTTTTTACTACTACTACTATTATTACTACTATCCAAGTAGATGTGGAGTGATGTCTCATTATTCTTTTTAAAAAATATATTTTTATTGGTTTTAGAGAGAGAGGAAGGAAGAGGGAGAGAGAGATAGGAACGTTGATGTTTCTCTCTCATCATCAACCTCGATCAGCTGCCTGCACACGCCCTCCTGGGGATCAAGCTCACAACCCGGGGATGTGCCCTGACTGGGAAACGAACCCGTGACCGAGTACCAAGAATAACAATAAATAGCGAAGATATTTTGACCATGAAATTTTTTCCATTGCATTGCGTATTTATTTTTGCAGTGCTTCCTGCTTTCTGCAGGTGTCTTGAGAAATGTCATTTACAGAACTTGGCAGAAACATAAAAATAGCCGCTTGATCATTTCTGTGGTAGCAATGGGCTCCCAGCGGACTTAGTTCCTCAACCTGTTGTATACCCTTCATGTATGAGTCTGGCCACAAGCTCAGTGGAAATAAATTATGTAATCCTCTTTAAAAGAGTGCCCTTCAGCTGTCAATTTCCTACTGCCCCTATTTGTATCCTATTCTAATGGTTCTGCCTTCCTGTTTTTTAGGAGAACATTTTGGGGGTAAGAATAGGAAAAGGGCCGAGAAGATGAGTTTCAAGACTGATTTGGAAACGAACTTTGCAGAGTGTGTTTTAAATGCAGGAAAAGTCATCCTTGGGGAGAAGCAAAGGAGTGAGATGGATCCGGACCTGCAGAAAGAACAGAATCAAAGCATCTTGCATGCCATATGCGCTCTGCTGAATTCTGGTGGAGGAGTGATCAAGATTGAGATTGCGAACAAGGACTACGATTACAGAATCCACGGAGTAGGGTTGGAATCGCTTCCAATGTTCAAAGGCTATCTGGACGAGCTCCACCAGGAAGACCAAAACCTCTTTTTTATTTTTGTGAAATCATGGAATGCAAAGGCCTCTGGGGTACAGCTTGCCACTTTGTCCTCCAATTTGTACCAGAGACATAAAACATCTACGAATAAGATGACATCTGAGGAAGCACTGGCGTTTCTCAGAGAGAAGACTCAGACATTTAGGAATACTTTCAGTTTAAGCCCAAAGAAAATTCAGGATGGTGTACAAAGCGAAGAAGACATAAAGGCCTCCGCTGCTGCTTTATTTGATCGAGATCACCTCCAGTACTTGGAAACACTCAATTTTACTCAGTCCACTCACGTTGAGTTTAAAATGTTCTCCGAAGAGGAATTGCAACATTTTGAGAAGGATCTTTCCAGATGTGTGTCTGCATTTGCAAACACCGAAGGAGGGTACATATTTTGGGGGTGCATAAAGAGACGCGTCAAGTTATCGGATGTGAAGAAGAGAAAATAGATCCCACCACCATGAGGGAAGCTGGATTAGGAAGTTACCTGTCCATCATTTCTGTACCCAGAGGTGTGAGATAAAATATGCCATCAAGTTCTTTGAAGTGAAAAACCAAGGGGCCCTCCGTGGATATGTTTGTGCCGTCAAAGTGGAGCAATTTTGCTGGGCAGTGTTTGCCGAAGAGCCCAGTGCCTGGCAGGTGAAGGACAACTGGGTGATACGGCTGGCCCCAAAGGAATGGGCAACTTGGATGATAGAAACCGACCCAGGTCAGGAAGCAGAATCCACATGAAATGTAATGTTAGGTGGGGAGCTTGGAGGGAGGAAAGGGAGGTATTGCTTTTTCTGATCATAAACTCACATTTATAATTATTCAGGAAATTCCTTTTCACGTGTCCTCTTTAATTTATTGCCACTTCCTCCCCACGATGGCCGGTTCCCTGGATTAAATGTTCTCCCTTTCTTACTGCCCCACTTCTGTTTTTGAGCTAAAAGATGACCACACTGCCCTGGCCCCTGTGGTTCAGTTAGTTGGAACATCGTTCTGTACACTGAAAGTTTGCAAGTTCGATTCCGCATCAGGGCACATACCCAGATTGTGGGTTTGATTCCCTTGTGGAAGGCAACGATCAATGTTTCACTCTCACATCAATGTTTCTCTCTCTCCGTCTGCCTCTCTCCCTCTCCCTCCTTCTTTCTCTCTCCCACTCCCTCCTTCTCTCTCTCTCCCTCTACCTCCTTCTCTCTCTCTCTCTCTCTCTCTCTCTCTCTCTCTCTCCCTCCCTCTCTCCCTCCTTCCTCTCTCTCTCTCCCTCTACCTCCTTCTCTCTCTCTCTCTCTCTCTCTCTCTCTCTCTCTCTCTCTCTCTCCCTCTCTCTCACCAATCAAAAGCATGTCCTTGAGTAAGGATTAAAGAAAATTAAAAGATGACTATACCATGGCTGTACTCCTTTTCTACTTTTCCTTTTTGAGAGCCAACATGTGATAATCACTAGTCCCTTTGCCACCCCCAAATACAGTAGGTTTTTCTGAGCTGACTTGGGATGTAAATCAAATTATCTGTGGGCCAAGATTTTGAGTTCTAAGACTAAGTGAAAGGTTGTGCAACACAGTGCAACTCTAAGTTGGGGTTCAGCCTTTTTGCATATTAAACCCTTGGTTCTTGTTTCCTAAGATCTTTCCAGAAATTCTGACATGGTCCTTCAGCTGAGTGTGTCATCCGCCACACCCAAGAGCAGGAGTGTGTGCACTCATAAGAATTTGGAATTTCTGAGAGAACAGCAAAAACGCTACTTTCCAGGTAACTCATTATTGGTGGTTGCTTAGGAACAGGTGGGTTGTGCATCCACATGGAAAAAAATAGAATTGGACTCTTGTTTTACGTTATAGAAAAGAAAAAAAAATCAAGTCCAGAAGGTTTGGGGGAATAAATGTCAGAAACAAACCTTTCAAACTCTTATTAGAAAATGTATGTGAATAATTTAGTGTTGTTCAGATAAGAAAGAGTTTCTTTAACCAGACACAAAAGAATTAAACTTAAACAAAAAGTTTTGCTATTTTAAAATTAAGAACTTATGCTCCTCAAAAGAGTGAAAAGATTTAACTACAATCTTGAAAGACATTTACAATCCATGTAATTGACAAAGAATTTGTATCAATAATACATAAAGAATTTGCATAATTTTGCCCAAACCGGTTTGGCTCAGTGAATAGAGCATCTGTCTGAGGACTGAGGGGTGCCGAGTTCAATCCCAGTGAAGGGCACATGCTTTGGTTGCTGGCACATCCCGGTGGGAGGTGTGCAGGAGGCAGCTGGTTGATGTTTCTCTCTCATCGGTGTTTCTGGCTCTCTATCCCTCTCTGTAAAAAAAAAAAAAAAAAAATCAAGAAAATATATGTTTTTAAAAGAATTTACATAGTTTTTCAAAAGAACAAATAGAAAAATGGGAAATGGTTATAAAGATGACTTTCTAAGAAAAGATGACACATGACCAATACAGTTATGAGGAAACTAGAGGCCCATTGCGAGAAGACTCCTGCAATAGGGCTTCCTGCTGCGGTCTCCGCCACCCCGCCTGCTTCCCTCCCTTCTTCCCTACCCCGCCGCTTGCTTCTCCGCAGCCTCGCTCCCCTCTGCAGCACTTGGCTTCTTTCTACACTGTCTTCAGTCTTCGCTCTGTGCCTGGATATACAAATTAACTGCCATCTTGGTTGGGTTAATTTGCATACTTGCCCTGATTGGCTGGTTGGCATGGCTTGTGGGTGTCGCGAAGGTATGGTCAGTTTGCATGTTTCTCTTTTATTAGATAGGATGCTCACCACATTACAGGCATTGGAGAAGTTGTAGCTAATCAGGATCTTTTTTTTTATATTGCTGCTGGGAATTTAAATTGGCCAAATCCCTTTGGAAAACAAACTTGATATTACCTTGTATAATTGGTTATTTGCATACTCTAGCAATTCTTTCTAGTTTCTAAAGAAAAATGTGTGCATATACATCAGTAAATACATATAGTTGGAGATTTACCCATATCTCATAGTGTTCATAAGTTCACTGTTTGCAATTGCACCAACTAGGAAAAAACCAAATTATCTATTATCACAATAATGCATAAATATGCAATAATGCATAAATGTATATTTATGCATTATTCCATTATGTAATATATTCACATAATGGAATATTATTATTCAGTAGTAAAATAAATACACTACAGCTATATGCAAGCACAGGGCTAAATCTGAGTAATGTATATGTACATCTTGTCATGAGTTAACTCACAGATTTACCCAATTCTTTTATTGATTATACTAGAGGCCCAGGGGATTTTTGTGCACTCGGGGGATCCCTCAGCCTGGCCTGTGCCCTCTCGCAGTCCAGGACTCCTCAGGGGATGTTCACCTGCTGGCTTAGGCCCACTCCCTGGGGGATTGGACCTAAGTTGACAGTCAGACATCCCTCTGGCAGCCCGGCAGGTGAATATCCCCCATTGGGGGATGTCCGACTAGCTGCTTAGGCCCACTCACCCCCATTTTTAGTGCTTCCTTGGAGATGGGAGAGAATACCACCATTGACCAGCCATGAGCCAGCTTCTGGCTGAGCAGGCGCCCCTTGAGGAAGCCCACTGACCACCAAGGGCAGATCCTGCACTAAGCATCTGCCCCCTGATGGTCGGTGACATCATAGTGACCAGCTGTTCCCAGTCGTCCTGCAGTTAAGATCAATTTGCATATTATCCTTTTATTATATAAGAAAATATCTTATAATATTCCTCAACAGCTTTAGCTGTTTTTATTGTGGAATATACTTTATATACAGAAAATACATAAAACAGCCTTATTACTTAAAAATTCAATCCCTGGTTGAAGCACATACAAGAATCAACCAATGAATGAATAAATAAGTGGAACAGCAAGTCTCTCATCAATAATAAAATTCTCTTTGATAATAAAAGATATTAAAGTTCACTTATAATTAATGAAATTTGGTATGCCTCTTAGTGGTTTCAAAGTTTTATTCATATTGTTACCATATATGTTAAATTTTATTTCTAGAATGAGATCTTTATACGAAAATAATTTCTGATTGTGAATTGCTGGCATGTAGGAAAGCTCATTGTTTTAGATTATGCCATTTCCAAACATTTTACATAATACTTTTATTAATGCAAAAGCAAAAATAATTTTGAACTTTTTTATATTTATGTACACTATTTCTTTTACTTATTTCAGTTCATTGGCCAATAATTCCAGAATAATATTAAATGGAAGTAGTAATAGGAAGTGCCTTTAGTTTAGTTCACTTTTGTAGAAAACTAGAGGCCCAGTGCATGAAATTTGTGCACTTGCGGGGGAGACCCTTCAGGCAAGTCTGTGCCCTCTCGCAGTCCAGGAATCCTGGGGGGATGTCTGATTGACTTGGGTAGCGGGCCTAAGCTGGCAGTCAGATATCCTTAGTGCTGCCGTGAGATTGAAAGAGGCTCCTGCCACTGTTGCTGTACTCGCCAGCTGTGAGCCCAGCTCAGGGCTTCATGCTGAGTGGCGTTCCCCCTGTGTTGAGCGTTTGCCCCCTGGTGGTCAGTGCATGTCATAGTGACTGGTCGTTCCAGCGTTCAGTCATTTTGCATATTAGCCTTTTATTACATAGGATAACGCTAGTAATTCTGAGTCCAGACAAATTTTACTGGTGTGTCCAACGGCTTGCTGGATAGCTTGATGTTCAACAGGTATCCCAAGCTGAGCATTTCCAAAATCAATCACCCACTCTAACAATCTTCTATTTCCTCTCTATACCCCTCATATTATTCTGTATTAAGTATTCTTTTCAAATTATCTCTATCAATTAGAGAATCCATCCTCCACCCAGCCAAGCACAGAAATCTAGATTCATCCTTGTCTCTTCCCCTTATGTAGAATTAAAAATTCAAATTGTGTGTGTGTGTGTGTGTGTGTGTGTTTCTGAGAAGAGGATTCATAGTTTTGGTTAGATTCCAAATTTGGGCTCCTGACCCCAAAAGGTTTTATATACATATAGGAAAAGCCAAACTTTTTTTTTTTAAAGCACTTTAAATAATTTGTTTGTTTGTTTTATATTTTTATTGATTTTACACAGAGAGAAAGGGAGAGAGATAGAGAGCCAGAAACGCCGATGAGAGAGAAACATCAATCAGCTGCCTCTTGCACACCCCCCACTGGGGATGTGCCGGCAACTAAGGTACTTGCCCTTGACCAGAATCGAACCCGGGACCTTTCAGTCCACAGGCCGACGCTCTATCCACTGAGCCAAACCGTTTCAGCTAAATAATTAATTTTTTAAAAATACAAATGTGAAATGGATCTTTCTTTGTAAACAGATTAAGGGTTTTAAAATATGTATAATTTGTGTGCCCACCACAGTCAAGATACAGAACAATTCAATCACCAAAAAAATGGCTCCTGCCCTGGCCAGTGTGCTCGGTGGTTAGGATGTTGGGCTGGTGCACTGAAGGGTCATGGGTTTGATTTCC